CACATTCACAGTTCGTGCATCATCATCATCATTCCACTGCTGGACGAAATCCTCCCCAAACTGTCACCATCCCACACGGTTCTGTCACGCAGCAAAATATCTAGCCCCATGCGGTGAGAATCCTCTCGATGCTGTGTTCCTCCTTTGGCTGCCACTCTGACGTTAGTCTCGACCACCAGTCATTATCCCTTCTCGTAATATGGTCCATCCGAACCCACTTACCTTTCTTAACGGTTCACGTAATGTCTCAAAATTGGAATTATATCGAGGGACAACAATGAACACGTGTATGTAGGGTACATAAACAAGACAGAGACATTATCTTGACTCCTGCATCAGCCTATGCCCAACTGAACCAGACGTTGAGCAGGATTCAGCGTGGCTAGTTTATGGATGGCCGATCACCATCCATGACAGGTGTTTATTGGTTGCGGGGATATGTGGTGGACAGTGCATACATCTCTTATGGCTTGACGACATATAAGAGATTTTGGCACTATTTGGGCATATTGGCACAAAGCAGAGGAAAGTGGAAACAAATGCTGAAATGTGCAGTGGAGACCAACGGGCTATCGACCCATGGATCGTTATGATGATGAGTGCATAAAAATCCATGATTGTACTCTACCTATATGCAGCCTCGTCTATGCTTCTCGCGTTTACCAACCCTCGCTGATGGTAAATTATGGCAGAATAACCCCAACCACCTACAAGGCATGGGAGGACATCCAACAAAAATGTGTTTTTGTATCTTCGTCTTCCTTGTATCCTCCAATGTTCTAACATCAACACGCCCCTCTGTCCATCACCCTCGTAAAAGCAAACACACGCATCTCAATGGGCAATTGTCTGGTTTAAATAAAGAAATGAACAGTGTCATGCAACCTGGCTGCAATCCTGACAACATGAGTTCATCCCCAGTTTTCGTTGTGCAAGGGGTTCTGAGAAGTCTGGCAAAAAAAGAACACGCCACAATGTGCCACTAACATTTTGCAATAATCACAACCGTCGCAACCTCCGCCAAAAAAACATATCTATGCCACAGCCAGTCTCTTGAAGCGCCGTCCATGGGCGCGTTACATTGTCACCTGCCCCGACACCAGCAAAAAATGTGATGAACCGATTAATTAAAATCAACGTTTTTAAATTGCATATCGACAGCTGCGATCAATAAGGCTGGACAACAGCAGTGTTAAGGGTCGCCAAGCGGTTAAAGAGTAAAGCTTGAAATGCGAGCCCTGAAGGGGACGTTCTGATAATTGTGAATACGCAGAGGAGTGGCACCAACCACAAATCCCCGGCCTCTTTAACGACCCAGGCGTGACCTCGTAGAGGCCATCAGCCAGGGGCCGTGAGTGGCGTGGGCGTTTAGATCTTGGCCGAGAGACCCACACGCCACTTTGTCGGCATATTTCTCCCTTCAAACAAGACTACAACCTTAAACGCTTGATTTATGCAGATAACGGAAAATACATTTTAACACAGTAGGCTTGTATATGTTGTGGGTTTACTCTCCAACACACCGGTGTGCTAAGCCAGTAGCTAGTTTGCATTTTTTTGTTTACGTGACAAACATTACTAATTGGATGTGTGTCGGGTGGTGGCGGGTTTAACGACACGTGATCTAGCTCAAAAAACCCTCTATTATGGGCGTTAAATACATAGTGGCGCGTGAACAGTCGGCTCAATATTGTTGTTGTTGTTGTTTGACTTGCATCCCACTGAGATTTTTGCACACAGCGTTGGTGTACGGTGTTTTTTTCTGCAATATTTTGCTGTCTTTTCTTGGATTTTCTGTTTGCACTTAGTCACATATTCACTTTAAGATGTTTTTGTTCATGTTTTGTTTTTTGTTCGTTGCGGTTGCACCCGATTCAAGAGCCGAATGACTCACAGGGCTATACCTAATAAATGAACTTGAACTTGAGTAAATAGCCAGTGGCTACATGAATTTAATTCAATTATAAGCACAGTCGTTCACATGAATGAAACACGTGGAACACGGTTATCGGTAGCACGTAGAGGGGTGACAACAATGGGAACCATTCCCCAACTGGATACTTTCATCCTTGCCATCAATGCACAGCAGAGCTTTCGTTCTACGTTCATAGCAAGCACTAGATTCACAAACACATCTTTATTTAGGCTGGAGGAGTATGTTGAGCTGTAAAGCTCTTTATTTTCTTCAGATTTCTCATTGGCCATCGCTACCTCTTCTCCTCCAGTTGACGTCACTCATACCAGTAGGACGCTATGTCAAAAACTCTCCTCTTTATAGCAGGGCCGCCAAAGGAGACACATGTCGTCCAATACTCGTTTAGGGCCGTCCATAAATGACGTCACGCACCTAGTGGGGGGGGGGTCAGACATTTGTGACGATGTGTGACGAGGGGGGGGGGGGGTGAGAAATGTGACGTCACATCAAAGTGCGCAATTTTAAATGAATATAGACAACACGTTCTACTTAATTAGACTTTTTTTATATGTGTGCAGCGCCACATTAAATACGCACCACAATGACAATAGTTTAAAGCGATTTGAAGCATGTTTTATTTTCAAAATGGAAATATGGTTTGGGGGGGGGGGGCAGATCTTTGTGACGTCATATTTGAGGGGGGGTCTGACTTTTTGTGACGCCGTGTGACGAGGGGGGGGGGGGTCAAAAATTGTCCAAAGCCGCGTGACGTCATTTATGGACGGCACCTTTGAGCGGGAAAAAAGTTAAATTTTGTGATCTTCTAAGAATTTAGTTTACCGATGTATGATTTTCTGCCATTTAAATGTAACAATTTTTTATTCTACCAGGTACGGTCCACTGATCTATACAGCTCTTTGTTAGAAGCGACCTGGCTTTCACAAATGATAGCTCAACGAAGTGGCCAAACACGTGAAAATTTATCGCAGTCAAATATGCAAACTCCAAATATACAGCAGGTGTCAGGGTCAGGATCGAACCCACGACCTCTTGTATACCAGGCGAGGTAGTTACCATCTCCTAGCCACCAAGGCTATCTGGAGCGAGCCGTGGCACTGTGGTTCGATTATCTGAACTATGAACCCCGTGACCAGAGTCCCAAACCATATTGTAACAAGCGGCGATATTTGGACCGCTCCTGAAATCCATGTCACCAACCTGCACTGACCAGCAGTCAGCATGGTGAAGTATGGTGAAATAACCCGCACAATCTCTCACTCTTTAACTGATGGACTGGCCGGTTAGCGCTTTGCATCAGAGAACTCGAGTCATTATGAGATCGCAAAGCACAGAGCCCTTGTCCGTGGGTTGACGCACACACCGATCATGCCACATGGGTCGATGAAAGCTGAGCATCACTTTGTAGCAAGTCAAAGTGATTGTAACTTGACGACCCGTCCCGGACTGCATAGCTCATCGGATTCTTCCAGTGAAAATAACGATTCTGATTCTGCTTGCCCAATGGACGTACTCCTCACTGCCATAGGAACAGGCAATTTCCACCACTGTCACAAACAGGCCACTAACGCCGCCCCATGTTCAAGTTCATTGATTAGGTATAACCCTGTGAGCCATTCGGCTCTTGAATCGGGTGCAACCGCAACAAACAAAAAACATGAACAAAAAACATCTTAAAGTGAATATGTGATTAAGTACAAACAGAAAATCCAAGAAAAGACAGCAAAATATTGCAGAAAAAACACCGTACACTAACAATTTGCACGGTGGGGGCGGGGGGGCTCTGAGTTCAGTTTCCAGGCTCAACACATTTGTCAATAACACTGCCCCCCCCAAAAGCAAAGGCTTTACAGGGACTCCTCTACTTATGAACGAAGGTTCCAGAGGTCTGTTCGGAAGTCGATTTGTTCGTAAGACCAACTTTACGCCTGTCGGTTCCAAATGTGTTGTTACGGCATGTACACCTAAACACGGGGAATGGCTTTAAAAGTTGTATAATGTAGAGGCCACTGGTTCTGCAGATGTAGATGACACTGGTTCAATCTTGATTTGAAGCTTTCGTGACTGCAGGAATCCATACTATCTGGTTCTTCCGGTAAAGTCACGTAGATAGAAAAAATAATAATAGCAGAACGCTGTTTATTTTTCTATCTTTGTGACTTTACCGAAATAACCAGAGAGTATGACACTGATTCTTCATGCGGCATCTACATTACATACCGACAGGTTTGTTCGTATGTGGGAAATTCGTAAGTCGAATGTTCGTAGGTAGAGGAGTCCTTGCAAAATTAGGTGACGTTTCGGGCAATAGACCCTTCTTCATGGCACATGTGCTGTGGGGCGTGGTGCCAACGTCACAGCCGGCGATGAGGTCACGACCCTGAGACCACGCCCCCCTAGACCACGCCCCATAGACCACGCCCCTGAGACCACGCCCCCTAGACCACGCCCCCCGAGACCACGCCCCCTAGACCACGCCCCCGAGACCACGCCCCCGTGACCACGCCCCCCTAGACCACGCCCCCCTAGACCACGCCCCCCTAGACCACGCCCACATTCCTCACGTCTCCAGCACGCGACGGTTCGGACCATTCCAGCTCTCCCCATTGGCGACCCGAACCCACGTGTCCAAACCGCCCACCCTCGCGATTGGCTGAGGGCTTCGGCCTCGCCTAAATCCCGCCCGCCAATAGCGCGCGGCGAGGGGTGGTGTTGGCCCCGCCCCCTACCCCACCCCGCCCCCCGCCTACCCGTCCCCCCGTCCCCCCACCCAACCGTCGCCTGTGAATGGAGGCGGCCCAACAACCTTGCAGCTCCGTGACGTCACCGCACGCGGGCCAAACGCGTTTGTCGGACATCTTGGGTGAGGGAAAAGCGGGGGCATTACCATCTAGAAAATCTCCCCCCCCCACCCGATCGGAGGCGCGCGTGGATGACGTCACGCGCGGGAAGGCATCAACGGGAGTGGGCAGGAGGTGACCGCTGTCCCTGACCAAGATGGCGCGAGGGTAGTCGGCGTCAACCCTCGGCGCGTTGGATCGGCTTCCCGTGGCCAGTGGAAGGTAGTCGAGGGTGTTCCGGGCGAGCGAGGCGGCGGCGGCGGTGGTTGCGGTGGTGGCGGTGGCGGCGACAGCGCGGGCGAGGTGTTCGGGAGATCCTTTTCGTTGTCTCCCTCGCTGATTAACCGAGCGAACACGAGGAGCAAAACGTCTTTATAGACGCAGCCGCGACTGAAGTGAGGTTTTGCTCAGTGCCGCCGCCTTCACCCACACTCACTCCTTCACCTCGGCCGCCTCCTGCTGCCTCTCTCTTCCTTCCACTCTATCGCCCCCACGTCTCTTGGCCTCTTCTCTCCTGCATGGTGGCTCGCTTTTCTTCTCTCCCACGACAGATTGTTTAAGCGTAGGCGACGTACAGTGCTGCTTTTGTGTTGCCGCTTTATCGGGGCGGTGGGGGAAGTGGAGGTGTTGTTTATGTGCGATGGATGGACTTGCACTCACACATTGGGGGACTGTGTAATTTCCGTCACTATCCGATGACCTTAAACGTAGACGAGTAGCGACCCACGCTCGTTTTAACGTGTCACAGTGATGGCTTATTATTGTATTACGTTGTAGTGGTGGTCGCACAGTAGAATAGCTACGGAGCGGACCATGAGCCTCAAAGCCGACTGGCGATCTTGCCTGTTATCGATATAAACCTTGGCATGTTGTCATAAAATATCAAGACGAGTTGTCCCCTTCGATTTTTACGACAGTGCTGTCAATTACAGTGGACATGTGGCGCAGTGGGTAACGAAACGCGGCTAGCCGAGTGTAATTCCTGGCCACGGATAACATCAGTGGCTGGTGATGGTAGAACCGGTCCTGGCCTCACCCCCGCCGCCTCATTGTACCGCACAAACCATGGTCAAACAACAACAACCCCGACACGGCGTGGGGGGAAGGCTTTATTCCACGAGTCGATTGATACAGAGGCTGTAAATGACGAACATTGCTGTCAATAACACTGGGGTGTGAAAGCCTTGAGGAGCCGCTTTGCGGAAGTTGTGCATTTTGTTTCCATATTTTACCCAGTGAATCAGCCGTGCTCATTTGATATGCAACAGCAGGCCCTTTAACACTCGAGGCTCGGGTATAATAGCCACTTAATGAATGAAATGAAAACACGTATGTTTGGCGATTTGGCCCATTGTTACAGAATGAATCTGATTCAGAAAGTGGACATTCGCCAATGCGAGAATCGGGCCCTAAATGTAGTCATTACCTGCCTGTTCACGTGAGATGTGTGACAAAACCACTCGCGATCCATCAAATCTCATCAGATTTCAGAAGCTAGGAAGCATAGTTGAGCCTGCGTCGTGATTGCATTGACGACCACCGCTCCCGGCCTTCTGCAAGCAACACTGATGAGCGGAGTGAATGTTTTTTTCAACATATGCTTGAGCACAGGCCCCGAGGCCTAGAATGCCAAGTTGCCTGCAACAGACAGCGCTGCTAAAATTGTATTAGAATTAGCAGGTTTAAATTAACCAAGGTTATACGAACTTGTGAAAATAGACGATGGAAGGGAATTCCAAAGTCAACCAGCGCGAGATACTAAGGACACAGATAACTGTTTAGAATGTTACCATTGTGGTTGACGTGGTTAGATGAATCCATGAGTAAAGTTCACGGGAATAATACCAAGGGGAGTAGTGAGTGAGTGTCTGCAGTCAATCAGCGATTGCTGGTTCACTGCACCTCCGATTCGCAGGGTTATTGGCCACGTGTGGTATTGTGGAAGTTCAATCAGCGAGACTGCTTCAGGTTAATACAATTCTCGTGAGTTGAGTGAAGTTTGAGCTGGGTGCTTCATCCCAGATATGGGGTTGGCACAGACAAGAGAGCCAAGCTTCTTCGATGCCTTCTTAGCCAGTTTAGTCAGATTAGTAATACTGTATAGCCATTCCATGACAGGTCAGATGAGATTGTTGTTCCAAGCAGCTTAATCATCTTCTTACTATATTTAAGACTATGATAGGAGGAACTGTGGAATTGACACCTGGGTGTGATATTATTTACTGGATTTCTTTCAGTGGATCATTCACCCCAATCAAGAATTGTTTTTGTTTACAGTACGGTATGTACTATCATACTATATCAATCTACATTAAAATAGTACTACAACTGTACCGCAAGACAAACATTGATGATGATGTTTAATGATGATGACGACTCCAGTTTTCCCGTGGCCTTTGTGCTACACAAGTCGGTTCGGGCACGTCATTGACCAACGTTTAGCCAGAGGCAGTCACCCCACATAGGTCAGACACGCACGTTTGTGAGCGCCGCTGTGGTGTTTATTCAGGCAGAACTGGCAGGTGGAGGCTGCTGTGGGCACTATGTGGTGGCTCAACAGAAGTTTGCTTTGAAGTTGACGTCGGCTGTGCTGGAAAAGTTTCCGTAGATTTAGTGCGTGAGTTGTTGGATAAATTGTCATCTGGGCACCGTTTAGGACTTGGCAATACAGTGTATTACAAAGCGTCTAACCGCGTTCGTATCTCGAGATGCAGTACAGCAAAAGGTGGACGTTTATTTTTTGCAGATATTGGCTGTGAGTCACAGTTTGAGGTTAAAAATTGAAGGCCTCGTGCCCGGACGAGATACAGGGGCAGGGAGGATATTCCAGACGACGCTGTCAGCAGATGAGAATTAGCCACCGCTAACTGCTGCTGATTATACGCTCTGCCCAACACAAATGGGATGTTAAGAACGCAAAATTGATGCTAAATTATCGGTAGCATGTGGTGAGAAGCTGTCAGTTCATGCTGGGAAGCGTCTTTGTTGTTTGTCTTTTGTCTGGTTGTGGGATCAGTCTGGAGCGGTGGCGTAGCGATTAGTGCGATGCGCTATGAATATCGTGACCCGGCTTCAATTCCTGCTCACGGCAAACACCGGTGACGATTATCTGAACCGGTCCTGGGCCTCCCCGAGGTCGACTTGAGCTCAAATGAGCACCCGGTGCGGTGTGTAAACATCGTCGCAAGAGAGACAAAGGCGGCCGGGCGTGGTGTTGGCCACCCACCCACTCGTGTGCCCCAACAGTCTGTTACGGCTACGCGGGTGATCTTTGTTTTGTGTTTGGGATCAGTCTGTAAGCTATGCAACTGGCCATAACCCTGCCCAGTTTAAATATTTAATGAACTCGCATATTATACAGTGTACTGTATAACGATTGCTTGGAGTTTTTTTTCTGTTCTGCCTCTTATTTATTATTGATGATCATCGCATTAGCGAGCTTAATGGAGATCCTGAGTGTGTCCTGGCCTGTACTTATTTGAGGTCTTTTATAAAACTTTGTAACACAATTTTTGTTCCTGGGTACTAAGCGTTATTTTTTTAATTGCTTATGCCTAAAAAGTATAGAAAATTACTATTTCCTGCAAACTTTGCTTTTGTGACCAGGATTTTACGTGAAGGAATGGCACAAATGCACACCACGTTTTCTCATTGTCACTGTCATGGTCACAAAAGCAAAGTTTGTGGGGAATAATAGCCAATTTTCCGTACTTTTGAGGCATAAGCAATTAGGAAATAACACTTACTACCCAGGAACAATATATGTTTTTTGTTACACAGTGTAATCAACCCTGTTGGGTTTCAGATGACAAGCTCGACTTCGTTTACTTATCGTGTTAGCGTGCACCAAACGCCTCCACGTTTGTTTGCACAGTTAGCCGGTGTGGCGCGGAATCTTCTTTTTGCAAGGTTAAGTACCCGTTTTGTGTTCATTCACTGTTTGACCAGTGGCATTGAAGGTGCACCGTGTTTGGCGTGTTCAGTTCCCTTCGTGGCAGGTCCACAAGTTTTCCAGTGGGTTGCACTTGCTGCACGCTGACATATCTTGTTGTTGACTGTTTGCTTGGGATTCCGATGCATGGCAGTGCTGTTTATATGCCAAGGGAAATGAGACGGATCACGCACGTGGTCCGCTCCCGACCACGTTTGCAGAACCCGCCCCCCTCCCCTCAATCTTGTTTTGTAGGTTCATTTCTCTCGGTCCATACTTGATGATATTTATTAACTTGTTTACGTTGTCACCGAATACCGCTCGCGGATATTGCTGTGGGATAGTTGGAGGCAAAAGAGAGAGCGGTTGTGAAACAGCGGGTGTATGCATACATACATCCCATCCACCCGTTCGTTTGCGCCGTGCTGTTTTGCAGTTTACGTGGTATGAGCGAAATTGGTGGGGTGCGGCGGTGTGCATTTTCAACTGGTTGGAGAGAGAAAAAAATCCTCTCCACCGTGCCATGCACCCAGTCGGCAGGGGCTGTGCCCGATGATGGTTATTGTAGGCGAGCCCCTCTAATGGGTTCCATGGGCTGAAGCTGTCTGAGTGAGAGCTGCCGCGTAAGGGAGGCGGGCGGGCAAGGCAGAAAACAAAGATCGCCTTTAACACCGGCGGCCGTGCGGTCGGCTCACGTAACGGCCTGCAGCTGCGAGGGGTGCGGCCCGGCGTTGAAAGACCCCAAGTGAGCTTGGCGGTGCCAGCAGTGACCCTCCTTTTCCTTCCTCAGAAGGCGGGCGGGCGTGCCGACCGACCGGCTTGTGGGTGAGCGAGTTGCGCTGTCGGAACGGGAGACCCCCTTATTTGGGAAACAGCAAACCCTGTCGTCCCTTAGGTGTGTGTCAGATCACCAGTGTTGGGTCTGGTCACAGGCAGCAGGATGTTGTGTGCCATTCTAGCTCTGGCACGTGGCTTAAAATAGTCATCATGACATCCATCTTCATGAATACTTTGTATTCACGTGTACTGCTCCTTTGTCAACCCACTGCTGGATGAGGATTTTCCTACACATTTCACGCCGTGGGGGTTATTTGAGTACCTGCTTCACTATGCCGTCCGAAATGGATCGGTGAAGACGAGGAGCATGAATATGTGAACATACATGTATCCCCACCACCTATAACAACAACCTGTTACGCGTGGGTGTCGCTCATTCATGCAAGCGCTCTTCAGCGCAACTCTGTTTAGCTTCAGAAATCTGTTGAGATTTGACATATGCCAGGAATTTGGTCATAGCCCAAACTATGGCATATGGCTTAAATATCAATTCTCATGTCCACCTTTACACGTACTTTGCGTACAGTAAATACAATTATAGCTGTTTGCCTTGGAGGGCCGCCACTCAGTTGAAAGACTTACTTTGAGAAGGGTCCTACTTTGAGATGTGTTGGCCAGTTCCTCTTTTGAGTATTTTGCAATGTAGACCATAGATTCCGTTTGGGCGTTGTTTGGCCCTTCATCCCTGCCAGGGTCATAAAGTTAGTACTGCTTTGTGGGAAAGGCAACTGTGATCATCCGATGGATTGACTCACCCCCATCATAGGAATGATGAATTCCCACCGGTGGCTCAGGGCTGTTAACGTGAACTGACCATCACCCCACACTCAGTTGAGTGGGAAACTACTTTTACAGCACTTATTTTGATAGACCATGGATTTAGTACTGTGACATCATCAGACATCAATTCAATGCGAGATTAATGCTCCTTAGGCTGTTGCCATCTCTCATGGTCCTGTGGTGCAACGACCCACCAAGCACCTGCACACTAAATGATAATATCATTGCACCATCTCCTTGGGTCGACTTCCTTCCCTTGGCTGAAACTCTGTTGTTGTACTCGACCATCGGCCGTCTTCCTCGTGACGTTTCCTGCCCGAGCCCACTTAATTTTCTTTAAAAAACTCTTATGATGTCTTAATGGCATGCGTTTTCTAATCCATCTGCCACTCTTGCATTCGAAGAATGCTCTCCTCCACACTTCTTTGCACACGTTTCAACTTTTGTTTCATTTTCGTTATCAATGAAATTCGCTTCTACCCTCATGTCCTACCCAGGTCCAAATACTTTTCTTGACTGTCACACTTAGTTGGTGTGCACATGCGTCCTTTGTCCTTAAACTGAACACAGCTCCAATGACTGCTTCATCTCGTTCAAAACCTCTCCACAAGAAAAAATCTAGAGGCTTGTTTGTCCTCGCGGCATTATCGCTGGTCAATATCGCTCGAAATAGAACGCGTGGGGTGTTTACAAGGTGGTAGCGGCTGCGGCAGTGGTGTGAATTCCTGCTGTTGTTTTTGGGACGTGTTGTTTCTGTTGTCGTGTCGCAATTTATCTTTTCTGTTCGCTCTTATGTAAGCAGTGCACTGGTAACTGTGAAGTAAGACGCCAAAGGGCAGTGCTGGTGTTGACGAGGCATTAATTGTATCACAGCCCTGCAAAACATTTCTCGGACATGAACACCTCGGTCACATGAAATTTCTCACCTTCGAAAGAGAATATTGTACAACTATGCAGATCCCCTGCACTTGTGGGGGTAATGACGGAGCCATTCTGCCTAATGACTAGCTTTGTATAGTCAGTAAAACTCTGCATACAGTACTAGTTATCACTTTGGTATGTAGTGTACGAGACTGTGTAGTGTATCATAAGTGTAAATAATGTACACACCTTTGTCAATCTACTGCTGGATACAGACCTGTGTTGGTCATGGTTTGGTGAAAGATTGGATTTTGCCCAGAACTGGTTCAGGCCTCACTTGCCACTGATGTTAGTTCTGGTTAGCGAAGTGCGTTAACCACAGCACCACAGCTCCACCTTGGCTGTGTAATATTGTGCTTTATTGAAAGAGCATATACGCATAGACTTGGCATGAAGCGTGGATGCAAGCCACTGATCAAGTGCAGTGATTATGTATGTATTGGCAATTATGCTCTTTGTGGAGCTGGGCATAACAAGAGTAGACCAGCTTGAACCACGCAACCCTCACCAATTGTGAAGAATATACTTAAATTATCACCTTTATTTCCGCAGACCTCGGAGATTTGGAATTTATCTCAAGTATTCACATTGGTGTCTCTTTACCGCTTGCTGAAATTTCAGCCATTTACTGGAGATACTTGTAAAAAAAAAAATATAATCTACGAGTTGGTGTCCATTTCATGCACTCCATAGCCAGTTTCTGGACCGCCATAGGCCCCACAGACCTCCCGCCCGCTAATTGAAGCTGAGAATTCCAAGCGCATATTTGTGGGCGTTCGGAGTCGTTTACGGAGTAAGTCGCGCCCGCCTGCCTTCTGCCCTCCCGTGAGTTTGTGCGAGACCGCTTTTTTCGGCCGTGACAAGATTTCTATCTCACGCAGACGGTGTTCTCATGGCCCCAGCCATCATAAGGCACTGTACATGCTTGGCCTGTGACGATGCACCGATTCATCGGCTGAAATCGATTATTGCTCGCAAGGGTACATTCACCATGATGTGCGTATTGCGAGTTGACTGTTAGCAATGGTATTGAAATTATCAGAGTTTGTTACGTTTAGGCTAATGGAGTGAATGAACCAGGCAGACAATAGAAATGAGACCGGTTGGACAAAAAAGGCAGGACAAGACGTACAGAACAAATGAGACGGTAGAAAGAGACAGACTGAACAAGTTAGATGAACAGTACAAAGGATATACAGTTTAAATGAGACGTATAGTACAAAAGAGATTGTGCAAATGAAGAAGAATGAGACAGTACAAACAAGACCGACCATGCAAACAAGACAATCCAAGTGAGATCATGTGAATGAAGAGACAGACGGAACACAAGCATTACTAACAAGACAAACAGTAGATGCAAGACATAAGGCAGAACAGGGCAATCGAGGCAGCAGATAAAGGTCAATATAAGAATAGTAACCTTTTCTTGAACAGAATTATGATCCCAAATCATGACAGTTAATCAAATTGCGAGTCCAGGGGGGTAGGAGAGCAAGTCATTACATCCTGAGTGGAGCGATGAGATCATCACATGTGCAGGAACTAGATGGATTATTAATCACCGGACCGTGAGAGTTCGCAGTGGCTTGAGAAGGCCTCCATCCAGCAGTTGATAAATCATGGCAGGTAACGATGCATGGGTGAGCACGGTCCCCCCCCCCCACCAGCTTCTTGTGAGCGGTGGTGCCGCAATTTTCTTCATCCACATGGGGTTAGGACAAGGAGCAGGGGTGGGTCACCGACACGGAAACCTTGCGGGCCGAGAGCCCCCCCCCGCGCCTGCCCTGCGATCAATCATTCGGGCTGAGCGGTAGTGGTAGCGGAAATGTCGCTGCCTTGTTCACGCCCGCGTCCTTACTCCGGTTTGCTTGGTTCTGCTGTTGGCGTGGGCTGCTGTGGGTTCGTCTGAGCGGAGCGCGCACGGATGTGGCAACAACGCAAGTCTGACCGCAGTCAAGGTTCCCGTAGCAGTGTGGGAAAGAGTCAGTGGGAGCGGGAGTGTACGCATTGTTAATAAATAGAGGAATAAAAAGGGCAATTGCATCATCATGGTTATCATCTTCATCAGTCCATGTCTGTCCACTGCTGGATAAGACCCCAAAAGCTCTCACATTCTTTTTTGGTCCTGCGACACCACTATCGTTTTACTCCTGCAGATGAAATTGTCTCATCGCTCCATGCACATGCATAAACCTATAAGTTCCCATATATTTATATACCGACATACTTGTACCCAAACACATGCATATACAGACATTATCTCTTTGCTCTTTGGTTCTTTCGGTAAATTCACGATTTCAACACAAGCAGTCGTCATCAGGGAGAACTAAATGTGAGAGAGAGACAAAACACAGACACGGAGACACACAAGCAGACACGCAAGCAGAGAGAGACAACACAGAGACACGGAGACACACAAGCAGACACGCAAGCAGAGAGAGACAACACAGAGACATACAACAGCTGCCATTCTGCCACCACCAGTCTTGATCATAAGCCATATTCCACATCAATACCCATACTTATATCTCATAGTCAGGACGTAATGAATTCATAATATCTTATGGTGGGTGGTATAGTTTGTTAAACAAACAACTGGCTGACCTTGAAATAATACTTGTTAAATATTTTGTGTGTACGTATGGTACTGCAGAAGGGCCGTTTGTTTTCGCGAGACACAGTAGTCTGCTGTGCAGAATTTTTGAATGTAAGGGTGAGTCACTTGCATACCACAGCGAAAGTGGCGTGGCCAAAGCCACAGCCCATTCTGCGTCGCGCTTGCCGCTCACTGACCAGGTTTTCTCTAAGCACAATTCCCTCCAGCCGCCCCGTGCGGTCGTTCAGTGTCGCAGCCTATTCGAGGTGTCCAGAGGCGCTTCCGTATTTTTTCCTACGGTGATCGCTGCTGCCCACCACGCAGCTCCCGCAGCTCTTCGACAACCCGTGTGTGCGTGTCTGTTCGCCGTTATCCAACCAAGCCCCGTTTGGTAGGTTTTTTGTTGTTGTTTTCTCACGTTCTTTCGCCGCTGTTCCCGTCTGTGCGCGCGTGCCCGTGTGCGGGAACTCAGGCGGCGGGTTGCTATGGCGATGACGGGCGCGAGCATCCCGATGAGCGTGCACACGCAGGACAAGGTGACGCGCACCAAGGTGACGCTGGAGAACTACTACTGCAACCTGCAGGCCCAGCATGAGGAGCGAGAGACGCGGTGAGTCCGCGGGAAACGTCTGCGTGCCCGACAGCAACTGGTTCCCAACTGGTGGTCGGTTTCGGGTTGTAACCTATGTTCAAAGCGCAGTGAGTCCTCGTTTAGCGTGATAGATGCATTCCTGAAAAGTGCCGCGTTTAGCGAAAAACACTTTGGGCGGAAACTTTTTCCCCAAAAATAATGCGTCGATAAAATTTGGCGAGATACGATGGACGCACACACAGTAAGGTGGTGGGACAAGTAATTGAGGGTAGGCCGCCGTGTTACTGTGAATCATTCTGAGTAATGTATCGTACCACTCGGCTGCGCAAGAAAGTAGCTTGTCATTGACCACTCAGAAACTGCATTATAACAGTCGCGTTCCGCATCACAACAGCACGCGTTCTGTGCGGTAACGGACGTGTTCCACATTGTGCGAAAAGTGTTCCTAAAAGGAATAACCGCGTTATAGAAAAACACGTTTTGTGAACACGTTTAAAGCTTGGACTTAGCGTACACAGAGCGGGGCATGGATACTGCCCTGGCCCAGAGAAAACTGGGTAGTTTGAAATAAAAGCTGATGAATGATCCAAATTCGATTGATGCATGAACAGAAAGAAAATAAATTAAATAATAGAGTACGACGTTTCGATTGCAACACAAACAACCATCATCAGGTAGAACTAAATTTGAGAGAGACAAAACGCAGACACGGAGACACACAGACAGACACACAAGCAGAGAGAGACAACACAGAGACACAACAATGTCTCTGTGTCGACACAGAGACATTAGGTCTCTGTGTGTCTATGTTGTGTGTCTCTCTCTGTGTGTCTGTGTTGTCTCTGTCTGTGTGTCTCCTTGTCTGTGTTTTGTCTCTTTCTCAACTTTAGTTCTACCTGATGATGGTTGCTTGTGTTGCAATCGAAACGCCGTACTCTATTATTTAATTTCTTTTCTTTCTACGTGACTTTACCGAAAGAACTAAGGAGTAATTCCTGCAGTCACGAAAGCTTCAAATCATGCTATCGCAATGGTTGCGTTTGAATGAAGAACAGTGGGAAACGTGTGGAAAAGGTTCTCCATGGTTGAGTGGAGTTTGGGGAAACCCTGCCTTATACAGTAAGGCAAACTCTGAGTCGGGTTTGACTTTCTAAGTCTCGTCAGGAGGGTGTGGCCCCCCTTCAACACAAACAAATGCTTCTGGAAAACATTAGCGCAAGAAGGGACATTTTTGCCAACGCACATAAACATTATTTTCTTAAACTTTTTTGGGGGGAGGTTAAGCAGACTCGTGTGCTTATTTATACATTATTTTAATACCTACAATCCATTCAGATGGGCATGGCAATGTGTTGTACAGTTGCACACTTGCACGGTGTACAGTCACCATCATTCCACGATCTTTTCACTGCGAGAGAAAGACCCTCTCAAGTCGTTGACATCTCTCGGGGTCCTGGGATGTAACAATTTATTTAGCACTTGCACACTAGGTGCCATGTCACCCCATTGCAAAAGAGGTAATGTTGTTGAATGTGACCCATTGGGTTTATTTCATCTCTTGGTTAAACAGGATAAAACAACGACGATACGGGCCGAGTTCATCACTCCGTCTCCACGGTGGATAATCTCTTGCACGCGTTCCAATCCTCGTGGTCATCAGCCTCCACTGTCCTGTGCCCAGGCCCATTAACTTTTATTCAGTCAGTGTGATTATTCTTTGGGTCTTTCGGGAAAGTCAGGTAGAACAAAAAAAATTACAAAAAACTACGACGTTTCGATCGCAACACAAGCAATCGTCATCAGGAGGAAAAAAGGAGGGGAAAGCTGCTGAGGCAGGCTGTTTTGTGTGATGCCGATAACTTCACGATGTTCACTAACAACGTGTATGTGTGTTCTCTAATCCATGTCTTCTGCTTCTTCTTTCTCCTGTCTCTTAAGTTTAATTTCGAGTGTGCACCTCCATATTTCTGCGTGCACTTTGACACACCTCGGTATTTTTTTGTCTCCGCATCTTGTAAATCGTCTGCACGCTTATTACGCAGTAGGTATCATCTGCACACATTATACCAGACCTACCAAACATGCACACACACATACAATGGCTGTCACTCATAGCTGCTCACTTCCAGCGCTGCGCATCAACCATCCACCTGCTACACGAAAGCCTCCCCCACGCTTTGTCGGCAATCGGTGTTATTTGAGCATGCTTTACCGCGCTGGTCACCGCAAGTTGGTAGAGGTGGGATGGGAGGTCTCACGAACGCTTCGGATATCGTGCACCACCGATGTTGTCCATGGTCAGGACTCAAACTGAGGTTAATGGGTTAATGGTGAAGTGGCAAACCACAGTCCCTGGCACCACCTCCCTTTTAGCAAGTCTATCATTTAATTAAGCCGTGACCTTTACACCAGAACAAGGTGAACACCTTTTGACTCTTTCGCAAGGCAGACCCAGGGAACTGTACACTGCAGGAAGTTGGGCTCGGGGGAAATGAAACGGCCACATGCAAAACTGTTGTTTTAATATGTTAATTATTGTCGTTATATGGCCCATTGCAATCCACAGAGAGTTGTTATAATTTGAACTGACATCGCATCTCATTTAAGAGTTTTTCTGCCTCGTTACGTGACGTTTTATAGTGTTTCGCGTTCCTGCACTGATTTTTATTATGCACGTGTGTTTGGTTTCATGACCCAGGGTCTCTCTTTAAAATTAATGTGTGGTCTCTGCTTTCACCTGGTGATAAATAAATGAATGAAGACTATACGCACAGATCTCAAGATGATTTTTCAACATCAAATAGTAAATAGCATTATTTTTTACAGCCCTTTGTCAATCCGCTGCTGGATTAAGGCCTCCCATACCGCATCGGTTATGGGTGAATGACCATACTTCATCACGCTGGTCAGTATGGATCGCTGAAGGGTAATGGTGCCCAGATCTGATTCAGGTGTCACTTGGCACAGATAGTAGTCGTGGCCGGGAATCACATTTAGGTCACTGGGTTTATATCGCGGTGTGCTAAACATTGCGCCGCCACTCCACCCCGGTTAATTATTATCTGCCAAAATGCCGTATAAATCCGTCATGCAGTGAATGTTTTTCATCACTAAATATTCCAGCGCATTTTTATTTAACAGACATAAATAAACTTTCGTGCTCAAAGTTAGTTGCATTTGCGAAAGGAAGCTGGGAACATCTGTGTGGAAAAAATAAAGTCAAAGGAAAAAAAAAGCATTCTAAATTTAGCCACACGTATAAATCTACGGTCGTCACCGTGCGTGCTCGCTGCTGCTTGTGCCATTTCTGCAATTTAACTTGTTTCGTTTTGTATGTTAACGAATTTAGGCAGAAAAACCTCGAGCGGGTTATGGACGAAGAGGGCTTGACAGATGACGAGGTGAGTGCTTATTATTTTTATTATTATTTTGCCGATCGGTTTGGCCCCCCTCTAGTTAAGGGCACCCACGTAATGGAAACTCTTCTTCCTGGCTGCCACACAAAAGCATCTGTCGTTTATAGCGCACATTATTGCCTGAAGCCTGCACTTTACGTACACTTTACACACAGGTACGGCCCTTTGTATGTATGTTGAACTTCTTTCGCACTGTACGTAGTCATTTCACTGCTGTGTGAGGGCCGCCCTACTCCGGGCGGGTCGTGGGGGTCGTTTGGCTATATTTGACGCTTTTGTGGGTTTGAAGGCGGGGAGAATGGATATTAAGATGTACCGAACACAAATTGCGCACCTTCACCCTGTCGCACCCTCAGCCGAAGCAGCTGCTTTCTTTATACCACAAGCGGCATTCTCGCCGCATGGCTGTTACGTACACGCTTGTTTCTGGTTGCCTGACGTTGCCCAAGGCCTCATTGACACCCGGAGCTGACCCAGCTGTTACCGAGGTGCGCAGGATGATCGCGGCGCACATCGCCGCCTGGCCCCCCCCACCCTCCCACTGTGCGCACGATCAGGAAGGGAGGGGAGTCCCACTAGGCACGTTCCTAAGTTACGAGCCGTGTTGTCAAAAACAGCGAGCGGTGTTTTATATAGAATCGGTCATCAACGTGAAGGTCAAGAGGTCGTCGTGGCAGGTGCTGTGTTCATGCCACTGCACCTCGCCACTACTTCCTTCTGCCAGATTCTGCAGATGATTGCCACACTCTCGACATCAGACCTTCGAGGTCATGCATGCCACAATCGGAGCGTGCTTCCTTCCATGCCCAGTAGCCCTCTATACTCTTTAGATACTCCCCCAAAAATGTTTTAAGATGTAGCCATATTGAGACGGTTTCTAACATCACGTTACAATGTATTAATTTATTATCCTTTTTACTCCTCAACGTTGGTGGCCGTGCAGTTTCCCTGGGCTGTTAAGGCGACGGTTGGGATGTTTTATTCTGCTAAGAAATAGAAAAGGCAGGCGTGCACAATTGATGCGCCATGCGTAACGTAAAAGCTGCATGCGGTTATGTTCCTTAACTCGGTGAGCCTTTGGTATTGTGGCCAGGAGGAAGTTGTTTATTCAGCTTGTATTAGCACGGTTGGCTACGTACGCTCAGAAAGAAGTTCAATGTACACACACATTGTATGAGTGTCGGTTCTCAATCCACCCTCCGTATCGGTGTGCCGGGATGCAGAAGGACACAAAACGCAAGCACCACGCACGCAAGGAGACGGAGTTCCTGCGGCTCAAGCGGACGAGGCTCGGCCTCGAAGACTTCGAGTCCCTCAAGGTCATAGGGCGCGGAGCCTTCGGCGAGGTGAGGGGGGAGGCTGTCACAGGGGGGTGGCATGCCAGGTGTCAGAATCAGGGTGTTGTTTAACCTTTTAATCATCATCATCCACTGCTGGACAGATTTGCGCCACCCCTCGTGATCCTGCGATGTAAAATCCACCTAACCCCTGCACACAAACTGATTTTTAGCACACTCATGAATGAATTATTAAAAGCAAAACCAAATAATAATTCATAATAAAGTTTTTTGCGTGAGTATAAATGTGTCGTAACCCTCCACCACCCGACACAGCCAGTAAGGTTTGTCACGTAAACAATGCGCCAATCAGGTACGTGACAAACCTTACTGGTTGTGTCGGGTGGTGAAGGGTTGCGACACATTTATACTTATGCGATCTAACACAAAAACCTTTATTATGAATAATATTGGTCGCGAAAGCCGACGTTTTCAAACCAAATCTTTAAGTAATTTTACTCAAAGGAACCTCAGCAGATATGTTGAACATTCTTCGTATAATTTATTCACAACATTCTGATCATGTGCATCACAGTGGACGCTGACTTTCCACCAGCCGCTACCTTGAATGCAAAGCTCTGCTGGGCTTGTCCTTTCTGCCGTAGTCGTCACATTGTCTGCCGCTATGACGCCACCACACCGGGCTGATGACGTCCTATGGAGAGGGACTGCACCCACCAAAAAGCTTTGAGGCGTGTGTCACCGTGGCCGGAACATGCCAACAACTCACAGCGGTCCACCACGGTGGACTCGATGCATGGGAGGATTGATTGTTGTCTGATTAATATAGGTTTTAGATGAGTGAGAATAGGTTTTCCCCTTTTTTCTGGCAACAAACAGGTGTTAAGATGTTAGAACACCCAACTGAAACCTTTTACCAGGAATCATGTATGCATTAATCACAATACTTATGGTCAGAATGCAAACAAAAAATATACTCTGATAATATATGCATTGTCTTTTGGCATCCTCTGGTCTAACATCGTTTTGAGACTAGGCTCAAAAGAAAGCTGTCTGGTGTGGACCAATCAGTTTCACAATACACACGATGGGGCATTTTCACCTTTGTGTATTATCGGGGGCTCCACATCAAGGGCCGCACTAAAGTCTACAAGGGGCCACCAGTGGCTCGCGGGCCTTGCAATGAAGAACACTGTTTTAGACAGTGCCACCTGTAACTGCAGAGCAGAACGGAAGAATGGTGCACAGAGTCAACTGCTGCCCACCAAGAAGAGTTGCAGCAAAGCTGTTCACCAGCTGGCAGCCACCTGTGTGACGTGGCTAAAGAACCGAGCACAAATCGGGTGCTTATCTCGCTAGCGTACCATAGGAAAGGGGAATAAGAATTGATTTGAGTTTCCTATAACGATTGCTCGGGGTTGGTTGGCTGTTTTGAATTGCTGTTAATTTTACACGGAACTGATGAACTGCTGCCATCTTTAAAAAAATATATAATTTTCTTGAAATATTTCACCTGGATAATCCCTTGAGATGGAACATCTTCTTTGTAAGGGTGTCCACAGCAGACACGTAATGACGCACGTGCAATTATTTTAATCTACAAAGTATGGGAATTAAGGGAATTAAGGGCCAGAGCCAGCGTTCGGCAATCAAAGCTGTATCGGAGGCGGCAGAAGGCAGCAGTCAGTGGCTCTGGATGAAGAGGAAAGACCCCAGCTGGGCCCCAAAGTGAGAGGGCCAGGAGGTATGCAGTCAACAATGCTTGACTCAGGGAGGAGGACGCCCCTGCCATGCATAGTCCCATGGGATGTTGGCTACCAACAACAAGGCAACTCCTATGACTAATTGGGAATGGGACGCAAGCGTAGGATTGATCACCCTGTCGCTGGCCGCCTTTGGGGAGGGTGTATAGTATGAAAGGCCGAAACACCCTAGGAACCAAAGGGTCACTACTGACGATGCGCTCCCCAAATTTCACCAGGCTCACTGTTCATGAACTCTTGGAAGTGCTTGCACAAAGGATAGTAACATCTCATCCTGTGTTCTTTGGAATACAGTTGAGATTTGTACAAATTTAAATACATTTATACAGTGTCCTTAACAGGTTGCTTAGTGTTAAAGTGAACAGCTCACGGGGTTCAATGCTCGTTTGGGATTGACTCAGCCCACTGTCCCGCCTGTGTCGACTAATTGAGTTAAAATCTGTAGGGAAGTTAACAGAGTTTTCCTATGTATAGACTCACCTCTGCCATATGAATGTGGAATTTCCACCACTGGCTTAAGGGATGTGAAAAGGAGATGAACACTGCCTCAATGATCATTTAAGCAGAAAATGTTTGACGATTTAAAAATACAGAAACAAGATAGCCAAAGCAGCGCTGATGAATATCGTACCGCAATCGGGCACAATCATAAATGGTGCATGTCGCCGGTGACCAGCCCTTTCTCGGGATAAGACTTGGCTCCGGCAAACTGAGACCGCCCTCCTCCTCCTCCTCGTGTGTCGTCACCTGCGTAGGTGCGGCTGGTCCAGAAGAAGGACACGGGCCACATCTACGCAATGAAGGTGCTGCGCAAGGCCGACATGCTGGAGAAGGAGCAGGTAAGCCGCGCGCCGGCGGATCTTGACCCCCGTGGCCCCTCCTGGGAGAAGACGACGGCATGGGCGCACAGCCAGGGCTGTCGTCGTTGATAAGACGTTGGACGTTGCATTGGAAGAGAGTGGTTTAACCCTCCATGGCAAAAGCCGCCGTTTAATCAGGCACCAGCCCTGGGGAGTTGGCAGTGCTTAAATGTGCCAAGTCATGTATTTCGTATAGTGCTTGTGAGGTTGCTAGAAGTTTGTTTTTCTTTTGGTACAAAGCTCATTCTACGGCCGCCCTGCAGTGATGTGTTGATTTGTCGATTGAAATCGATTTCTACACTCACGATACGTGCAGCATATTGTTCGTGTGAAAATCTATAAATTTCGCATTCATGCAAGGTCACATTGAGGCTGATGGATTGTACAAAACTGTACTAAGTAAACAGAAAAAAATGAAACAATATAAAAGTGATAGAGTTAATGAGATAATATTGTTTGGGATTTAAAATAAAATTAAATCCCAACCCCGAACCGTGACCATTCTGTGAACCGCTGGCAGGTTGAATGATGACACGTTTCATGTGTATATCTCCAGCGCTCGATCCATTGGCCCAATCGAACGGGTGCTAGGTTTTGTTATTTAGAGCCAGCCACACGTTGAGACCGCACGTCTCTTTTGCAACGGAGACCTATGGTGAAAGACATGCCAAAACAAGAAGTAGCTAAAAACATGTGTTCAGGACAAAATGCCATGATAAGGCCAGGCATGGTATGCAACTCTCTGCAATTATGAATCTCTACAAGTACATTTATATTGGTTCACGTGAAGCTTATATATTATCTTCATTTGTATCCTAGTATGAGCCCAACGGGGTGGAGCGGTTGTGCAGCGATTAGCGCACTGCGCAAGGAATCCGGTGACCTTGGTTTGAGCCCAAACACAGCTAACAATACATCAGGGGCGAGTGATATCTGAACCGGGCATCGCTACCCGCCTCCCATTCACCAATCCGCACAGACCAGCGTGGTGAAGTGTGGTCAAACAACCCCCACAACCGACATAGTGTGTTTGCACCTCCGATTAGCACGGTTCAACATACAGACCTACATACAGTGTCAGGAGGCCTTCCGCAGTGGCTTGACAGGGGGATGTTTTTGTTTGAAGCACAACCAAACTGCAACACATTACAGCGTGTTCATAAAACAATGCAGCAATTATTAATTACAGTTGAAGAATTTGACAATTTGTAGAATTGGATTATTCCGGAGAGATAACGACTTTGAACACTTGACACATGGGACACACACACACACACACACTTGCAAAGTCGTGCTTTGTTGCGAATCGTGCGACATCTGCAGGTGGCTCACATCCGAGCAGAGCGGGACATCCTGGTGGAAGCAGACAACCTGTGGGTGGTGAAGATGTTCTACAGCTTCCAGGATCCTAAAAACCTCTACCTCATCATGGAGTTTCTCCCGGGCGGTGAGTGCGCGGCAGGGTCAGGGAAAGGGTCTCTTCATCTTAGTCGGGTTCCTGTTGGAAGTCAAGTGTGAGACAAGACCAAGGGTGGTGTCTGTACTCCTTCGTGGAGCTTCTGCTGGGAGGTAAAGGTGGAACAGGCTGTCTGGAAGGGTCTATGCCTGTAGGGGACTTTTTGCGGGGAGGTAAGCATGGGACAGGCCAAGAGAAAGGACTGTATACCATCATGAAATGTTTCCACAACTCCACTTCTTGCGACCCTTCTTGATTCAAATACAAATGAATTTGAGTAACATGCTGTGCCACCCTGCTGTCAGCTATGACGTCATCGACTCTTCGCCCTGGCTCTGTTCTGGACACTGCCGGGGGTTTAGGCTAGAGCAGATCAGGGGGAGGTTTTGCACCCCTGGCTCCAACGTGTGGCCTCTGCGCGCAGGCGACATGATGACGCTGCTGATGAAGAAGGACACGCTGACGGAGGAGGAGACGCAGTTCTACATCGCCGAGTCGATACTGGCCATCGACTCGATCCACCAGCTGGGCTTCATCCACCGTGACATCAAGCCCGACAACCTGCTGCTCGACAGCAAGGTACGTCCGCCTGCCGTGTGCTACCCTGCCGGTCGCAGGCCATCTTGTATGGCAGCTATCAGCTATGCCTGCCCCCACTGGAAGATGTCAGAGACAGATCCTATCTGAGTTCCAGTGTGATAGAGTGTACATAAACACCTGAGATCAGAGATGGCATCTTTCATGAGACACCAAAAATCAGAAATATGATGATGCTGCTGATTAAGAGTAACTAAGTATAAGTATCAGCTGCTATCAAAGAGATACTATCAGGGGCAGCTGCTATCTCAGGCAGCTTCCACAAGACACAGCTACTATGATGGACATTTGCTTTCAGGGGAAGCTTCTGCAAGTTTGATTGGTGGAATTTTTTTACCAGGTGAGAACCCAGTGAGACTTCAACTGGCAGCTTTTATAAATGACACCTGATCTTGCGTAGAACAGCTGCTGGTTAGGACAGCTACTCTTAAGGAGCAGCTATTGTTAGGCACATACTGTGTACCACCTGGTCTCCGCTGAGAGATGATCTCGCTTCTTCCCCCAGGGTCACGTGAAGCTGTCGGACTTTGGGTTATGCACAGGCCTCAAGAAGGCTCACCGCACCGAGTTCTACCGGGACCTCACGCAGGCACAGCCCAGTGACTTCAGTACCTGTACGGAACACCAACCTATCAACCCACACAGCCACTAACCCATATTTCCATGTGCCCACTTGCCTATGTCCCCAATTGTGCCTGCTAGCCCACCATCCACACACCCACCTGCCCACATTTCCACATGCTTACTTGCTTATGTGCCCAATTGTGCCTGCTCGTCTACATTTTCACATGGCCATTTGCTCGGTTGGCTACGTACCATGCTAAAGATGTTCAATATATATACATGCATGTGCCTGCTAGCCCATATGGCTATGAGGAGCAAGAGCCCACCAGCCCACGTGCCTGTCTTCCAACTTCCCCTTGTGCTTACTTAACTTGTGTGACCATTCACCAACACTAGCACACGTTTGCAGTGAATGGTACACTGGGATCTACGAATTCACTGGCCAGGAGCAGGCCTTAAAGTTTGTGGGGGTAATGCACTCTACGGCAAATATAATGCAACTAAGGCAAATGTTTTAATACAGCTTTGGTGGAAGAACTAAGTGTAGATTTTAGTTGATAGTTTTAACTGCCGGCATGTTACTCCCAGCCCTGGTGAGTCGCACTGTGCAAGCTCCCGAAGCCTCAGGGGTGGGGACCTGTGCAGCTGCAGGATTTGTTGCTGGGGGTGCCCCCCTTGACTTGGGCGTGTGTCCGTCCTGCTGTGTTTGTATTCCCACAGCTTCCAAGCCCATGAACTCAAAGAGAAAAGCGGAAACTTGGAAGAAAAACCGGCGGCAGCTGGTGAGCCAGAGAACTAAAACGTTTTTAATGAATTCATTATTGGAGAAAATTGTAAACTTAACATTTTTTTAGGATATGACCCACGCTGGCGTCGTTAAAACAATTCAGTTTTTACCTTTGATAGTTTTTAATTATGTCTCCTCTCAACCGGTGGCCACTAAGTAAACTTAATTATTATTTTTCAATTCACCACTCAATCACTGGAAAATGTATGATTGGTTATTGATTCTCATATTCTTCATCTCTGTGGCCATGTGTCACACGCCCAGGCTTACTCTACGGTGGGCACGCCAGACTACATCGCCCCGGAAGTGTTCCTGCAGACAGGATACAACAAGCTGTGCGATTGGTGGTCACTTGGGGTCATCATGTTTGAGATGCTCATCGGTGAGTCAGCGAAACGACCACCAATTCCACAGCAACCGCCACCACTCTCACCGTCGCCTTCACGTCTACTACCAGCATCATCGCCACCACCACCAACTTCTACATGAACATCATTACCACTACCTCCACCATTTCCTGCACTGCCACCACCACCATCGCCTTCACAGCCATAAATATTACTTCCATCATGACCACCACCAACATTATCACCACTACCACCTTCACTACCACCTTCACTACCACTACCAGCACCATGATCATCACCTTCACTACCGACCACCACGACCACCTTTACTGCCACCACAGCCTACCACCATCATAGCCACCCACCACCAACACCTTCACTGCCACACCACCACGTCATATGCCGTGCCAGTCTTCATAGGTGCTTTCGTACAGTACTTGCCCCCTCAGTCTGTAAAAGACTATACGTGGGATCTTGTCTGTCTGTCTGTGCGTGTGTGCAGGGTACCCTCCGTTTTGCTCCGAGTCGCCCCAGGAGACGTATCGCAAGGTGATGCACTGGAGAGAGACGCTGGTGTTTCCGCCTGAAGTGCCTATATCCGAGAAGTCTAGAGACCTCATCCTCAGGTGCCTCCTCCATCCGCGAACACAGCAACGCATCTTACCCGTGTGCCATTCCATTCCCCACTTGTGCCGTTACAGTTTTTAATCTAATTCAATAACGTGTGTCTTGTATTTCGATGCAGCAGTTAAAAGCGAGGTGCCCAGGAGATGGTAGAGCAGCATATGTGATTCTTTAAACTATCTGGATAGAGCTTTAAATGGTACTCCCTCGTATGTGCGGTGGTTTTTCTACGGGTGCTCCGGTTTCCTCCCACGTGAAGTCAAACTCTCATTCATGGAATTGGCCAAACATGTCAATGCAGCACCCTCCTGATATAAAAAAAAAAACTCTTGAGATTCAGTTAGGTTTTTCGTAGATGAAGGGTTTTTTCATTAAAGACAACACGTTAATTTCATTGATTGTATTAAAAGTAGAGTTTGAATAAGTTGAACTTGTGTTTAACATCGGAGTCTTTCACACATCGCAACGGCTCAACTCGCACACGCAAAGTTGGCAGCTAAGCTGGAGCTGTGCAGTATCGTCATGTCATTCGGTGTTTCACTGTGGCCTGCGTGTTGGGAGTAAGTTATCTGTGCAACCAGCTCTACCTAACACTTGATGTAAATGATGAGAAATCCATCCGATGTAAGCTGAAAGCAAATTAATCATAGAAATACTGCCGCACGGAAAGGTGATGTCTCAAGACCTCCGATAGTGCCGTGCATGTCACATGACATGACTGCACTGCCTTGTTTTAGGCTACCGATTCAAATAATCAATATTGTTCAAGGCCACAATGTTGTATACCAGTTTCATCTGTATTAAGAATCATCAGTACAGTATAGCCATCATTTGCTGTCTCTAAATCACCTTTTGGTACAGATGATTACCGTTAAGTTACGTTTTGTGGGCTTGAGTGCAATCCAGATCATAACAGCAGCACAAGTGTTTGCGGAGGCTGGTGTTTTTCTCCTGAGACGCCATTACCTTGGTTTTCGTTTCCCTTTTTTGTTCACCGCGTTTCCAGGTTTTGCTGCGAGGCAGAGAACAGGGTCGGGGCGAACGGGGTGGAGGAGATAAAGACGCATGCCTTCTTCGAGGGCGTGGACTGGGAGCACATGAGGTCAGCAGCTGAAGCCTGTGTGGCTTTTTGTACAATTGCAAATACAACGTGGATTCAATGAGCATCCGCATACGACCGCATCTTGGGATGCTGGGCAGAAAACGGTGGGCGTATTTATTTTGTCGAGAGAGGTGGTCAGTAATAAGGTCTGTACAAGTCTGTAGGTCTCTACGCAAGTCTGTGGGTTTGTATGTGGGTCTATGAGTTACTATATCACCTGTGTAACTTCCTCTAATCTTCCACCATTGGTGACTAGCTTAGGCTGTACACCTGTGGAAAAACAGCTTCATAGCTCATCGGGTTTTTCCAGCTTAAAATGTCCGTCCGTTTAAGTCTGATACAAAACAATGTGGACATATCGAACGTCTTAATTCCACCACATCTGGAGACTCTATGCAAAGGGTGGGCATGTTTATATTGCAGAGTAATATAGGCACTCGGTCATAGGCAGAGTGAATAAGGAAGGTCAAAGAGATTATTAATGTGGATGTGCAACCGCATCTTTTTGTGTTCAGTTTGTTGTCCTTCACTCGCACCTCCGATTAGCACGGTTGGCTGCGTACGGTGCGAAATAAGGTCTACGTACGTACATACATCTCAAGATGTGTGTTGCAAAATTTCAGGGCATGGATACTCTGTCCAAAGGAGGCATACTTATTTCACAAAAACGGTCGGTCATAGAGAGAAGAGACGAACCTGGGCTTGGAACAGGGAGTTGATGGTATGGATAACTGGGAAATGGAGTTCCAGATCATGGGGCAGCAGAGTAGACTTCGTGTCCTTCCACTTAGAGGGTTTGGACAGCAACAAGCCTTGGTTGGTCGAGAGGAGAGTGCGAGGCGGGGGGAGCACAGCGAATACGTGTTGAGTCGTGCCGGGGCTGTGACGTCGACCTCACGCACTTTCTGAGAAGTCTGCATCGCGTTGCAGACTCATAAATTGCCCGATTGCCGGTTCGTAAGGTGACTGAACTCCTGTTGTTTCTCTTATTATGCCTCAGTCGTTGAATTCTGCTATAAAGTCGGCGCATTTTTAGTGCAATGTTTACAACCTCGCAAGTGCCTTATGGTCCTGCTGCCCCTCCACTAATCTCCCTGCTCTCACCAACAAATCAAACTCAAGCGAGAACTACTCTGGTCTGAGAATAATACCCCATTATAGCATTGATATAGGGGAGGGCCAGATGACCTCGTGTCATTGGTTTGGGCTCTGGTGCAAAGGAATGAACTGGGGCCCACCTGTCCAATTTCCACCCCTCTTCACAGCCCGGTGCCTGGGCACAATCCGGCCCAAGGGTTCCGGTGCAGTTTCACCGCCTGCATACTCGATAGCCAGGCTACTGGGGGAGGGTTCACTTTATTGCGTGTGGACAGTCAAGTGCCCGTGCAGAGCCTTTGGACCTCTGTTGCTGCGACTCCTGTTTGAACAAACAGCTGCGCAATCGCGAGCAGTAAAGGTGGCGTCTCTCACCAGTAAACGCTCTGCCGGCTGGTCGTGCTGCCCCGCCAATGTGCGGCCTGTCCATCGGCACACACAATCCTACTTACTCTGCCGGTCTTGTATTGAGCCTGCGTTGCGCAATCTATGCGCACACCAGCTCGCTGGCCTTATCCGGTCCACGAAACCAAAACGCTATTGAGCGGCTTTGGCGCCTCGGGGAAATGGCGAGAGATTTAGACAAACCTCCAATATTCCGAACAAGCTCCTGATCACCGAGCCAGATAAATAATCTCCGCAATGTAATCTATAGCACACAATGTTCCACGTTAAATAGAGCACGCGCATCTCATGTAAGATATGCCTACGACCTTCACGAGTGGAAATAAAAAAAAATCCGGCATGCGATTACGGAAACGCCAACCTGAGCATTGACCGCAGAGTAGAGAACACCTTTGAACTCATTACTTGGTGATGCTGCTGCTGCTGCGTTGGCAGCGGTGTACACGCACAAGTAACAAGCACTAAATACATTTGTCATTAACGCTGTCTTAAAATAAACCCAGCAGTAAAACCATTGTGAACAAAAATTTAGCAGAGGCATTGAGCAGTTCCCACTGCTCATGAACCGAAACCTCCTTCCACTCGTTTGTCCCACTCACGTGGGGTTCGCTGTCCTTGCCAACCTTCTCCACGCTGCCCTGTCCTGCGCCATCTTTCTTTCCGCTCCTCGGGCCACCGTGTCCGATCACACCACATCACCCCCCCCCCCCGACCTCTTCTTCTGCCTTCCTCTTGATCTTTTCCCTTCCACTTGCATCACTTGCACCTTCTGACCCACATAATTTTCTTGATGTCACTCAACATGACCGAAACCACACCAGCCTTTTCTCTCCCATCTACTCTGTGATTTCATGAACCGAAACCAATTCCTTCTAAATAATGTGGCTATACACTTACAAGTTTCCCATCGTCCAGCCAAAATAGAGAGCGGTCGTACAGGTGTGGTGATGCACACCTCCGATCAAACATCTTAATAGCAATGGTTGGTGTACCACGTAGGTTCGTGAGAATCCTACAAGGTGGCCACGGGATGATAGTACAGCAAGTGGGTTTGTGAACATGTGTTTGTGGACCTTTTCAGTGTTATATTCTCGTGTGTGCATTGTGGGTCTTCTCCAGGTTCTGTGGATTCCTGCCACCTACAAAATACGAATTAAAATGCATATTTATAAGCATCACAATACAGGACCCTCCTAAAAAGAATGAGAAAGTGAGGTTTTTGTGGATAAGTAAATGATGTTCATTTGATTTCAGTAACAAGGCAATGGTGAGCCAGTGGCTGCATGTGTGCATGAGTTGTTGGTCGTGGCTTTTGCTGCACTCCCCACAATGCAGCCCCAGAGTAGCACACCCAAGCACTATCCAGGCTGAATCCTACTTAGCTTCCGAGATCTGGTGAGATCTGTCACATTTCGGGTGATTTAGTCAATGGAATTATCATTATTATTGGTCATACAAACACATTGGAAATAATGAATCTCACACCCATTTTAATTTCTGCAATAAGTGCAAATCTAAGTCATTTTGTACCGGCAGGTTCTAGTCACAGCTCTCCTGTCGTCGCCACTCTCCCTTCTCACCCTTGTGTCTCATCCCCCCCCCTCCACCTGCCTCTCTGTACCACCTCCACCAGGGAGCGACCAGCAGCCATCCCCATCGAGATCAAGAGCATCGACGACACCTCCAACTTTGACGAGTTCCCCGAGTCGGACCTGCTGCAGACCACCGGAGGTAACGCGGCCGTTTTTTTTGCATCCGATGTTAAGACGGCGGCCAGGTGACTCAGGCCGTCTGAGTAACTGCCCTTGGTTTGTCTAATCCGTTCGGGGCGTTGCTGTGGCCTGGTAGTGGCGCTGCGTTCGTCGCCCGTTGCAGAGATTCGCGGTTCCAATCCAGCGGCCTCCCTGGTTATTACTGCGGGTGGAATAATCTTAATAATATGCTAAATAAAAAGAATACCTGCAAATCACTCGGTTAGGATTATACGGTGCCCTTATAATGGCTTGCCATATTACGGCACTATTCACAGTATTATTATTACTAAAGAGCAACATTGCTTGAAACGTAGCCCCGTGATATAAAAATGTCGTGAATACCAAAATGTACTTTATAATTGATTTAAGTATTATTATTATTATCATCATCATCGCGACTGACTGTTGCTCTTCATCCCTGCCCTGCCCCCCGTCCTGCGAACGTCTGGCGCAGGAAACGAGCAGACGACGGATGCGGAGAGCAAGTACAAGGACTGGGTGTTTATCAACTACACGTACAAGCGCTTCGAGGGGCTCACGCAGCGCGGACCCATCCCCTCCTCCATGAAGCAGCACAAAGTGTGACGCCCTCCCCGGCTCTCGCGCACACAACGGACCGAGATCAAGATCCCCCGCGTAACTTACACAGGTTTTTGGGGACAAGTGCTGTGTTAGCGAGCACCTAATGAAGGCCGGCACGATGTACGAGTTGGTGTGTGGTGGTGGTGGTGTCAGAACCACGCCCGGCTGCCTTAATCTCCCTCGTGGTGATGTTTTACGCACTGCACCATGTAGTCATTTAACAACCTAGGGGGTAGGTGTCGCACCGAGTTCAGATATTCAACACTGATGTTAGCCGTGGCCAGTAATCAAACTCGGGTTGCCGTGTTCGTAGCTCTGTGCGATAGTCACTCCGCCACTACCCAGCGTGGTGTTGACCACACCACCCTCTCGTGCGCCGTGCCGGCCTTCGTAGATGCTCTTCAACAGCACTTCCCCCAACAGCCTGTGTGTCTTATCTGGCGGATCTTTGTGATCCGCTCTCGCGTACGCACGCACATGCACGCACAAATGCACGCCCGCCCCTACGGAGACTCCTCCGCTGGCCCCCCGTTCGCCGCCACACTTTCACTCGTGTAAAGAAGAGATGCGAAGAAAAGCGACGAGGTTGCAGATGAACGCTCTGCTGAGAAGGGAGGAGGACGGACGTGTGTGCCTACGTTGCGCGGTAGCTGGGCTACGGAGATTATTTTTTTGATTTGGTTTAAGTGCGTGTGTATGTGCGTGCATGTGCTCGGATGGTCCTCCGCTGCGTATCACAAAACAGAAGGAAAAGAATGCTAAATCAACGATAACTAATCCCCCCCCCGCACTTTTCATGATGGATATTTAAAGTGCTCGAGGGGTATTTGGATGACGCCGGTTGCTGCTGATGGCGACCCTTTGAGAGTCTGAAATCCGTTATGCTGCTGCCGCTACTGCTGCTGTTACGTCATAATCATGCGAACCAGGTTACCCACAATGTTACATAAGACGAGGGGAAACAAACTTGCACCGCTCGCCTCTAAATGACTTGCATTGGCAAACGCTGGCCTCCCGTGAAGTTTTCGAGGAACGGGAGGATTGCCAAAACGCTTCTCGCTGGCTTTAAAGTCTGTGCGATGCTCTGTCGTGCGATGAACCGAGCCACGAGATCGCTCTGGGGGCATTGGAGCAAGTGAGTCGGCAAGCCGTTTCACTTTCAGACAATTCCTGTGTGTGCAGACGAATTACCGACCATGAGTTTTGTTTTTAGGAAGGGGCACTATTTGGGACTGCCGTTTTCCAAGCGAGTCCTGTTCCACTGATTATTTGGCTGACATTTAAAGTCTGCGCTGCCCTCATCCCCGACAAAGTACATCTATGACGAATCAGCTATTGATACGTTATTATCTATGTATTTTATTTTCTTTAACTGAGAACGGTGTAAGACTTTTGTGCTGTTATGCTGAAATGTGTACCAAAGCATTTGTAGACGTGCCCCCCCCCCTTGCCCCCCCACCCCCCATGTCTCCTCTAATGAGAGTTAGGTTGATCCCCTGTGCCATGAAGGGAACGCCAGATGAATTTCCAGAACCATATTTTAAAGGGTGTAATGTATCCCAAGCAGCTGTTAGCAGGGCTTCCGTGAGAGGGGAACGTTCCACCGAGTGGTGTTGCCCTATCAATCGGAGCAGCGTGGGAGCCAAGGGGTCGTAGGAATCCCTGGCGGTGAGGGTGGATGATTCTTCGGAAGGGAGTGCGTCTCGCCTGCTTCGAGCATAACGCATGGGTAGGGGAACCTTACCCTTACCGACGGCCGGATAGAATCCTTCAAACGCCTTTGGCGGGCAGCCACACGTGAACACACGACCTTGGCATTATACAATAGGAGCGCAAAAAAGCAACGTGGCGTTCCCTGAGTATAATGAGGCCCATGCAATTGACAGAAGTCGCAGTGTTGCCAGATCGCAAATAATTGTGGATGAGCACCACACATAATGAAGTCGTGGGTAGTATCTGTTCCCTGGGCGATGGGTTTTTGATCCCTGGTGCAACAACATGCGGGTCAGCGTCCGCACGTATAATGATGGGGGGGTGCGGCGGGGATTGGACGTTCCATTCTCCTGACCCAACATCATAACCTGCACCTAATACGGAACTCTTCTCGCAGCTGCGGCATGCACAGGTGGCGATATCCACCACGGAGCGGTCTATCTGTCCGTAGGGGTGTTGGGCAGCAGGCTTGGGCGTTGACATTCGAGGGTCGAGGGGGGCCTCTTGGTTGTGTCCGGTCCTTGTCGGTTGACTTGTGGACTTGTCCACAACAATCAACGCAGAATGCCTTAGGGTGTCAAAGCATCGTCACCAAAATCATACCGATTACATGTTTTCGTTAAATTCCAAATGTGCACCCCCGCCTCCAACATCTCAACTTGCTTATTTTTTTGTTGTTATTTGGAAACATTTTGCTAATATGCAGATCGGAGTTGCTGACTGCGACAGTGAGTGGTGTGACGTTTGTGGTATAAAGGAGAAATTAACTCTTGTCACGCCGTCGCGTGCAAGGGGTCATGTGGAAGTCAATTTTTTTCCTTTTGTTTAAGTATAGCCGCGCTTCGGTATTTTTGCAACGTGAACGCATAATCATTTTAAATTAGTGGGCGCGACATGTGGCACAATAGGTATATTGATGATTATTTGGCTACACTTTAGAGACATGCTTTCGCACAGGATGAATTCACTGGCTTCTTCAACTCGAGAGCACATTTTACTGGATATATACATGTAATTTGTCACCCAAATATAATAACAAAGCATGTTATATTTTCACCAATGGGGGAGGCCTTCATCAATAAGTGGACAGCCCATGGCTTCGTGATGATGATAGACAGGCCTTCGTCTAGCAGTAGATAAACCATGGATTGGCACCATATACAGAATGTCAAACCATCTACCATTTTTCAGAGCAAGTTACATTAAATACGGATGGACAAATGGAAGAAAATATTCTAAGGTTGTTTGCGCTCGTGTTCAAACTTGTAAAGAATGCTTTCGGAAGGGAGCGTGTTGGGAGTGGGAATGACGTGGCTTGTGCAGTCTCATTGAGTGGACTAATCCATTGACTCTTCTCGATCCCGTGCCTGTCCAGAAGGCCCCTTAGTCAGGCCCTAACTTAATCTTATTTAATTTAACTTAAATGGGGTTCATCTGATAATATCTACCGATGCTCAATGATGGTTGAAATCAGACAGGACTGTCTTACTCTTTAAGCAAAAAAAAATAATACGATGAAATTCTCGTGTCCCATGTGTTGCTTGAATTTAAGTGGCACACCTCAGTGTCCCGTTTCGCAGGACACGATTCGACCAATTCGGCAACACACGGGCGTGTGGGTCAACATCCCGTACATTTGCTGCGTGTTTCTTTTGTTGCTGGTGGTGGCATTTTTTTGGTCGTTTTTATTTTTTCTCGCTTCATGTAATATTTTTTTTTACCGTAACACGATATATTTATAATTTTAAACTCCTTTTCAAGCAGTCTTAAGTTGACCGTATTATCCACAGCCGTGTGTGTACTCCTGTAGACCGCCGTTCACTCGCGTAGACGAGAGTGGCCCGTCCGTTCCTCTCGCGAATGGCTCTCTGACGATCCTTACAACAGGAATCAAATTTGGTCCGTATCAACACGTGTTTGTTTTTAATCAAATGCATTGTTTGTTTTCTAATCGACTTATCATTTCCTCCTTTTCTCCCATTTCACTGACAGTGATCGCAAACATGTCATCGGTTCTAGATTTGAAGTTTTCGTGACTGCAAGGGTCCATACTCTTTGTTTTTTTCGGTAAAGTCACGTAGGTAAAACATACAATGAAATCACGACGTTTCGGAGGCAACACAGGCTTCCGTCTTCAGGTGACACCGTCACAGCAAAATTACTGTATCACTTGATACGTCGTGATTTAATTTATCTTTTATTTTATTTTTTACCTACGTGACTTTACCGAAACATGTTATAGTTTTTTTTTTGCTCCCCCCCCCCCTCCTCTCAATGGGAATGTGTGTGGCTTTGGTGCGTCCCGAGATGCGTACACAAGGCGCTTTTTGTTGCTAATTGCGCGCCCTCGAAGGCTCGCCGTCGGAGCGTTTTTTTCCCCCATATGCCGTGTTCTCCTTTGCTATAGGTGATATAATTTCGTGGAAGGTACATATTATACGTTAGAGCGGCCTGCTTACATATCGGTGGGAGATGCGGTGGTGTGTGTACGATGCTCACCGTATATATACACACACACACACGCGCTGCGGAAAATACAAACAAATATATGTAATACAGAAAATAGGGAACACGCATTTACTGCAGGGCTATTCAAAATATGCAACGGGGCGTTGTACAGTTATATAATGACCTCCTTGGGTGATGGGGTGGTATTTAACAAAAAAAACACACGATAAATAACACAAAAAAAAACATTAAAAGAAACTGCCGAGAGAGAGAGAGTTGGACCTGGCGCTTGTTTCGTGAATACGGCGCGCGCGCGTTTCTTTCCGTGAAAGGAGCTGCATCTGTGCGGTGGTTTCGGTGGAGAACGAGAGCAGAGTTCCCCGCTTGACGGTCCCGCGACGACGACGCGACACGCGAGGCTCCTGTGTAGTCTGTCCGCCGTGCCGACGCCTCCGGGTACCTGAAGTGTGTGTGTGTGCGCGCTACCGACTTGTAATAACGTTGTACATTCACAGCAATAAAAAAAACACACGTCGTCTCTATCCATCGAGTGACCCCCCCCCCCCCCCCCCGGCGCCACTCACTGATCGCCTCGTGCCTGCGATGCTGGCCACCATCGTAACGCCGGTTACACTGGTCCACAGCCAAAATGCTTCCGAAATAAATGTCGTCCAACTTTACCAATTGTGGGTCACTGAGAATGAAAATGATGCTCAAAATTGTTGATTGGCTATTGTTTTTAAGATATGCTACTGGGTCAGTATATACGACCCTTGACTTGGGAATGGTGGAGGATAATTTAGTTATAAAGGGAAGGGATCTCAATTTAAACCAGGAATGACTAAAATACATCTTTGACTGGATCTATGAATACATCTATGACTGGGTTTGGACAGTCCTTGCTTTTTGAGCAAATCAATTAATGATGCAATCTGAACCTGATATTGTGTCGTACATGATATTAATTGCATCATGTTATTCCTGCTGAACAATTGCCCTATATCAGCTCTAGCAATCAGTGTTGTGCTCTCTTATTTGTCAGTTTGATTTTGCAAAGGACACATTTCTGTTGAGCCAAAGTGAGCATAGATGCCTCTTGTGTGAACAAAGCAGATAACTTCTGCTATGTTTGTGGTGAAGTGACTTTTGCATCACAAAAGCGCAGTATAAACACTGGTTAAGAAAGCCTATCACCTTTATTTTGGCTGCAAAATTGGAGATCAGGACAAGATGTGGGCCCCACACATATGCTGCAACACTTGTGTAGCAAATCTTTGCCAGTGGTCGAAGAGGAAATCTATGCCTTTTGCAGTGCCAATTATTTGGGGAGAGCCAACAGATTATATCAGCAATTGTTACTTCTGCATGGCGCCTTCAGTTAGGAAAGGTGTATCATAGAAGAAATAGTGGACTGCAATATCCAAACATTCCATTAGCTGTACGTCCAGTACCCCACGGTGAAGGACTGCCGGTTCCTGATGCACCAGAATCATTCTCACTTGAGTCAGACGAGAAAGAGGATGCAACTTCTGGTCCTGAACCATCAAGGTCACATGGCCCAGATTTTCTCCTATGCTCCTCTGAACCACACCTCAACACAAGATGAACTGAAAGACCTTGTCAGGGATTTGTAACTACCCAAGAGTAAGGCAGAGCTGTTGGGCTCCAGACACCAGCAGTGGAATCTCCTGGCAGGTAATGTTAGGGTTTCCATGTTCTATGACCATCAAAAGGATTTTGTCCCATTCGTATTCATGGAAGGTGATCTTGTAGCCTGCAACAACATCGTTCATGATCCAGATGAGTGGAGACTTCATTGATCCATCGAAGATGAGTCTTAAAACTGTTTTACTGCATAATGGCAATGTTTTGCCATCAATTCCAGTTGGTCATGCAGTCCATATGAAGGAAATCTGACAACATGAAGCAATTCTTGAGGTGCATAAACTATGACCAACAACATTGGCAGCTTTGTGGCGATTTGAAGGTTATTGCTCTCTTGCTTTGCAGACCGTATACACAAAGTGCTGCTGCTGTTTTCTCTGCGAATGGGATCGTCGTGTGAGAGATTCCCACTACATCAAGACAGATTGGCCACTCCGATAGTCATTGGAGCCTGGGAGGAAACGTGTTAAGCATTCACCGCTTGTTGAATCAAGGACGATTTTGTGACCACCGTTACACATCAAGCTGGGTCTAATGTACCTTGTCAAAGCCATGGACAAAACAAGCAGCTTGCAAGTACCTCCGTGCAAAAATTTCCAAGGTTAAGTGAGGCTAAGCTAAAGGAAGGTGTCTTTGTTGGTCCTCAGATGCGTGAACTTCGAGATTATGCATTTGACAGGACACTGCGTGGCAAGGAAAATACGGCATGGGAAGCCTTGCAGTTAGTGGCAACAAATGTTCTTGCAGACAACTACAGGGAGTTGGTGGAAAACCTCTTCAAGGCATACAAAAGCCTTGGTTGAAACGTCACTAAAGATAGTTTTTTGGCACTCTAGATTTTTCCCCACCGAACTGCGGAGCAGTGAGCGATGAGTATGGCGAGCGATTCCACCAGGACATTGCAACAATGGAGACACTCTTATCAGGGCAAATGTAGCCCATCAATGCTTGCAGACTGTTGTTGGACAGTGACAAGAGATGCTCCATTAAATGAATACAAGAGACGAGCCAAGAAGCGCCGAGTAGACACTGAATAAGTACTAAATTATGTACTTATATATACATAGTTTTTTGCCTTTTTTATAATACATTTTATTTATATAACCCTCTTGTTGATTTTTAAAGTGTTACGTGAACAGGACAGGTGACGTTATCATGTAAAGCAACCGGGCATTAAGGTGGCATACCCTGGCTTGCCAGGCGGTACAGCAAATGTGAACCCCCATCAGCTCTACGATTTATCCAGGTGCTCCGGTTTCCGACAGCATTTAAACATTTGACCAATGACACCTTTATATGTAGAGAACTGCAGAGCTCGGGGAGGAAATGTGGCACCGGCTGGCCGCCATCCCACTGCTCTGGTTCGTCGCATCTCTTGAGTCGTTCTCTCTCTCGCTTCGAGAGTCGAGCGAATCCCGTGCGGCGGCGACAGGTTCAAATGATTATTATGTTGAAGGGATGACACCCCTTTTTTATGACTAATTACATATGTGCAAAGACAAAGATCCCCCGTATAGACGTGACAGACTGCTGGGGCAAGTGCTGTTAGCGAGCCCCTATGAAGGCCGGGACAACATACAATGGGGTGTGTGGACATCAACCACGCCCGGCCGCCTTTGTCTCCCGAGTGGGGACGTTTACACATCGCACCAGGTACTCATTTGAGGATGCTTCGGTGTTGGCCGTGACCAGGAATCGAACTGTTCTTCGGGTTCGTAGCGCAGGGCGATGACCGCGACGCCACCACTCAACCCGCATTGTGTCGAGCAGCGGCAGCGGTATCGAAGCCAGCGGCAAATGATCATCGTGCGTGGCACGTGGGGTGCTCTCGGATCTGGGGCACGGCACAGCGCGCGAGGTTGCGCAACGCACCCCGCGCTTCACCCTCCCCCCACCTCCCAGTTATTTTTGGTCGCTGTCGTTTCTCACGCAATCCATCGCCCCCCTTCCTCCGCCCTCTTGTTCGGTGAGCAGACGGGGGTTGGGGGGGGGGTGACGGTAGCACAGCGCCACCCAGCTGCAGCGTGTGGCCTTGGCGCGTTAGGGCCTTGCATGGGGGTTGGTTGTGGGGGGGGGGGGCCCCTAGAGTCTGCGGCACGGATACAGTGCAGGTGAAGTGAGGTGGTGGGGGGCGGTGGCTGGTTTCGCGCGCGGGGAAAATCAACTTGAAACAAATGCCAGACCGAGCACCTCGTTGATTCGAGGCGTGCACACGTGATCCATCTGTGTGTTGTGGCTCTGGTCATGCATGGGGAGGGGGGGGGGGATACCAAAAAGTTTGAATACCACAGCTTTCGTGAGATCATACGGAGCTGGCAACGCTGGGGGTCTGGGTTCAATTAGAATCTGCGCTTGAACAGCCAGTAAGTAAACGGGGGTTCTCAAGTGTAGGGAGTCACCAGCGATCGTCACGTTGCATTTAGTTCCGCTTTAAATACAATGTCTCGCCAGCAACGCTGAATACGGACTTCAAGACCCAGTAGTAATTTAATTGGGTAGAGAGTTGAAGGTCTAGATTTGAAGCTTTCGTGACTGCAAGGATCCATACTCTTTGGTTGTTTCGGTAAAGTCACGTAGGTTAAAAAAAGAGAAAAAATAAATTAAATCACGACGTTTCGAAGGCAACACAAGCCTCCGTCTTCAAGTGCCCTCACTTGATGCAGTGATTTTTGCTGTGACGGTGCCACCTGAAGACGGAGGCTTGTGTTGCCTTCGAAACGTCGTGATTAAATGTATTTGTTTTCTCTTTTTTTTACCTACGTGACTTTACCGAAAAAACCAAAGAGTAGAGTTGAAGGTCTGTCTACGCGTTCACCAATGATGATTAAGAGCCACGTGAAAGTTGGTTCTGTATTTCACGTGGATACATTGCACGTGCTGTATGGGGATCACAAACGTCGGTCACGTTTGTAGCCGGGAGGGTGTGGAAGAGCTGCCCCCTACTCAGTCGCGTAACGAGCGTGGGGCAGGCAGGGGGTGCCGTGTCCCCCACGGTGACCAAAGCGACGAGTTGGGGCACCCCTCTGACGAGCACCACGAGATTTGTTTTCATCAACAGTGTCAAAGAACGACGACTTATGTGATTAGGCAGGAGGAGCCGTGTAATGTCATAGCCGAGGTGCGACCGTGCGAGACGAATCAAATATTGGGGCCCCACCTGACAGATTGCCACACACCCTGAGCTAATAATGTCGTTATTACGCCACTGATAATGTGGTTACTACACCACTGATAATGTAGTTACTACACCACTGATAATGTGGTTACTACACCACTGATAATGTAGTCACCATGCCACTGATAATGTAGTTACTACGGCACTGCCCCAACTACTCAACGGGGTCTCGGCTAACGCCAGTGGCAGCCCACGGATGAATTTTCGCCCGAGGGGGCATCCGCCGTGGAGATGGAGCGATGAAACAAGCTCGCGTGCAGGTGATGTCAATTTTATAAATGTTGACATCGCAGAATCGTGAGAGATGGCGACGGCGTGGGGGAGTCCTTCATCCAGCAGTGGGTGAACCGCGGCTGATGATACAATAACAGAGGATGGTTTGACGACGTCGCAAGAGATTGGTGCCAGGATGATGTGGCACTACTTGAGCCGACTGGCACAAGACAGAGGAAAGTTGAAACAAATTACGAAATGTGCAGTGGACACTTACTGGGCTATCTGTCCATGGATCGTGATGATGATGATGATATTTCATAAGAATGAGCACAAATCATGGGAAGGGCCGACTCCTCTCTGCCATTCCCAAATGAGCAGGCAATTCGCAGCCTCCTTCACACATCTGCCCCTGCACATTTAAACAAACTTATTTTTGACCCATCCCATCAGTGTACCTGTCAACCCATACGATTTACCCGTATTAGTGTACAGGGGAATTGAGTTTTCAGGGCCATGCGGCGAACAGCCGTTTCAATACGGGCTTTGTAGGATGAACGTTGAGATTTATAAGGGCACGGGGTGACCAATAAGGTCTGAATTGGTCTGTCATAAGGTTATGGGTTGACAGGTATGCATCAGCCACAGGGCCCTCCCTCTCTTGAGAGTGAACAATTTCAACAACACCACTGTCGTAAACTCCCGACGGGTTTCTACATTGTCTCATCAGGAATTCAACACAGACGCCAGTGTGACCAGGGGCACAATGGGCGTGCCGTTTCTGTACTTATTCACACCAGGCTAGCCCTCCCATGCCTATACAACAAAATGCCACGATTTTAGTTTTATAACATCCTGCTATTAATAAGGGTCATTTTCCGAAACGTCCCCCATGTCCCATTAGAGCAATGTTTCGATTTAAAGCTTCTTTCGTGACTGCAGGGATTAATCTTCTTGGTTCTTTCGGTAAAGTCACGTAGAAGGGAAATAAAAAATTAAAAATAAAAAATAATATTGAAATTCCTTGTTATGATATAATTATTTTATTATGTTTTACTTTATTATTCCCTTCTACGTGACTTTACCGAAAGAACCAAGAAGATAGAGCAATGCTATTGACGAATGTGCCCACGTTCGGTGTGGAATGGCATCATTAGGTCCATTGAAAGTGGACGGGACAGCACAAAACCACAAACTGCCAATGCGCTGACCCACTTCGACCGCGCACGCCATCACTCGTGCGGATTACGCCCGTGGTGGAGTTGGGGGGTCGGGCGATTCCGATTAGAATCATAGATGAATCGGCATCGCGACTCCGAAATGGAATCGTTTCATCACAATCAGGTTTCCATATTGGATTTTATTTGGCATGGGAATGTGAATTAATCTTGATTTGAAGCTTTCGTGACTGCAGGAATCCATACTCTTTGGTTCTTTCCCATCTGATGACGGACGCTTGTGTTGCGCCTGAAACGTCGTGATTTATTTCATGTTATACCTCCGCGACTTTACCGAAATAACCAAAGAGAATGTGAATTAAGATTCTTCAGAATCCGTGCAATGAAATGACCCCGATGCAATATACGGGATTCTCACGTGACCTAGTAAATTAATTGCGATCGGCAGATCGAGTCAGCCAAGACAGGCTTGAGCCTGGATAGTGCGTACATAGGAGTGAACGTCGTGCAGAAAGAAGTTTGCTGTAGACTGCTGCGGAGCTGCATTCTACGTCCATGATCCCACGTGTATGGTCATCACCGCCTCCACCAACCCAGCGTGGTGAAGTATGGTCAAATGACTCCCGCACGGCGTGGGGGAGACATACCCTCTTCTTGGTTCTTTCGGTAAAGTCACGTAGAAGGAAAGTAATAAAATAATAAAAATAAAACATAATAAAATATTATGTTTTATTAAAATAATAAAAATAAAACATAATAAAATATTGTTTTATTTTTATTATTTTATTACTTCCCTTCTACGTGACTTTACCGAAAGAACCAAGAAGATGAATCCCTGCAGTCACGAAAGCTTTAAATCGAAAAAGACATACCCTCGTTCAGCAGTGGAGTGGCAAAGCGCTGTCCAGGTGCTGCACGTGCACAGGGTTGTGCGGTGCGTTGTGGAATTGCTTTCACGTCAAAGAGGGCTTCTAGGCATTTATTGTTGTTGTTGAAATTACTCAATCTCGGCATCGAGTGGCTTTCGAGTCGACGAGAAGTCATTTTGAAATCGTCCACAAATTACGCGTGGATTCAGAGTACACGGTGCCATCATCGAGACGTTCAGTAGCGAACTCGAGGTAATCGCTGTTGATTTCTCAGAAAGTTAAATGTGTGGGTGGGACGGGGGGGAACTGCAGGGCAAGGCTCTCCCAGAGAATGCTCCGTAGAGCCACAACACAACGCAAGCAGAATTTCACAAACACAACCTGTCATATTGAAAACCAATCGGCGATGGCTTTTGACACATTCCATGCTAATCCGGTAATTGCCAGGGTGTAATTTCTCACTCAATATTTTCTAGGTCGCCTACAGTAGGTGGGACGTGACGAGGATAACCGCAGCCAGAGCTAGATGCGGTGTTCCTGGAGATACAATATATTTGTTTCTGGTATACCGACCCAGCTAAGATGAAGCCCCGGACAAAATGAAGCCCTGCTAAATACCCACAATGTTCACTGTGGCTACGTACGGTGCGAAAGAAGTTCAATACACATACAGCACTCCACTCGCTCACGGAAGTAATATCACGGGCGACGAAATCACAATTCTAGAAACTCCAACAAGGGGGCCCCAAGCCCCCAACACATCCCAGAGGGAGTAACCAAACCCCGTACGACTCATCAGACATTGACTTTCCAGAACAGGGCAGCAGCTGGAATCGCTACGTGCATCGCCACCAACACCACCGCCAAAGACGAAGGTCCCCCGTATAGCCTATAACAGACTGTAGGGGCAAGTGCTGTTAGCGAGCAGTGCCTATGAAGGCGGGCACGGCGCACGAGGGGGTGGGTGGCCAGCAACCACGCCCGGCCGCCTTTGTCTCCCCAGTGGCGACGTTTACACACCGCGCCGGGTACTAATTTGAGGCTGAGTCGACCTAGGGGAGGCCCAGGACCGGTTCAGATAATTGTCGCCAGTGTGGGTTAGCCGTGAGCGGGAATCGAACTCGGGTCGCCGGGTTCGTAGCGCGGCGTAGCGCTAACCGCTGCGCCACCACTCCCATCACCACCACCATCACCAACAACAACAGTCATTCGCCACTAAGTGGCGGTGACGTCACCACGACGCTTGTGCCAGGCTATGTGCACCTTTAGGCCACGTGAAGTGTCGAACGCCCGCTGGCAGGAGGTCACGGGGCAGACCCAGCAGGTGCCACGGGTTGACTGACCGAGATGACTGGCTAATGCACCACCTGTGCCCCCCTACTGTGCCAACTTGCTGTGCTTTAGCCACCCGGCGCTCCGCTCGTTGTTGTGAGCGTCGCTCCTCCGCCCTCCACCATCAGCCGCCTCTGCGGTCACGGCACGGGAGAGGGAGGAGGAGGAGGATGAACGCGGAGCAGCAACGCCTCCGCGTCGTCCCTGCCGCTTGCCCAATGGGAGCTGCCGCGTGAGTCGACGGCACACGGCGGGTGGCGCTCGCGAGGCTCGAACCCGGCGCTCTCGGAGCCGCTTCTCGTTCCAAACATCGCAGGCGTCGAGTCCAGGCTGCTGCCCTCGGTACAATCGCGGTGGTGGTGGTGGGTTTGGTTGGTGTCGGCTGGACTCGTGCTACCGGCTTCATCGGGCACACGGTGTGAGGTCATGGATGGTACGTGCTTCATCCGATTGTTCCCGTTGTGCGTGCGCTGTCGGTAATTGCGACGTTGTGCATAGTGCGACGGGTGAACGATCCACAGTTACTTAGCGCGCGTGTGTGTGTCAGCGTGCGTGTGTCAGCGTGCGTGTGTGTGTCAGCGTGCGTGTGTCAGCGTGCGTGTGTGTGTCAGCGTGTGTGTGTGTGTGTGTCAGCGTGTGTGTGTGTGTCAGCGTGCGCGTGTGTGTCAGCGTGTGTGTGTCAGCGTGTGTGTGTGTGTGTGTCAGCGTGTGTGTGTGTCAGCGTGCGTGTGTCAGCGTGCGTGTGTCAGCGTGCGTGTGTGTGTCAGCGTGTGTGTGTGTGTCAGCGTGCGTGTGTGTGTCAGCGTGTGTGTGTGTCAGCGTGCGTGTGTCAGCGTGCGCGTGTGTGTCAGCGTGCGTGTGTGTGTCAGCGTGTGTGTGTCAGCGTGCGCGTGTGTGTCAGCGTGTGTGTGTGTCAGCGTGTGTGTGTCAGCGTGCGTGTGTGTGTCAGCGTGTGTGTGTGTGTCAGCGTGTGTGTGTCAGCGTGCGCGTGTGTGTCAGCGTGCGTGTGTGTGTCAGCGTGTGTGTGTCAGCGTGTGTGTGTGTGTGTCAGCGTGTGTGTGTGTGTGTGTGTCAGCGTGCGCGTGTGTGTCAGCGTGCGTGTGTCAGCGTGCGTGTGTGTGTCAGCGTGTGTGTGTCAGCGTGCGTGCGTGTGTCAGCGTGTGTGTGTGTGTGTCAGCGTGTGTGTGTGTGTCAGCGTGCGCGTGTGTGTCAGCGTGTGTGTGTCCGCGTGTGTGTGTGTGTGTCAGCGTGTGTGTGTCAGCGTGTGTGTGTGTCAGCGTGTGTGTGTCAGCGTGTGTGTGTGTGTCAGCGTGTGTGTGTCAGCGTGGTGTGTGTGTCAGCGTGCGTGTGTCAGCGTGCGTGTGTGTGTCAGCGTGTGTGTGTGTCAGCGTGCGTGTGTCAGCGTGCGTGTGTGTGTCAGCGTGTGTGTGTCAGCGTGTGTGTGTGTCAGCGTGCGTGTGTGTGTCAGCGTGTGTGTGTGTGTGTCAGCGTGTGTGTGTCAGCGTGTGTGTGTGTCAGCGTGTGTGTGTGTCAGCGTGCGTGTGTGTGTCAGCGTGTGTGTGTGTGTGTCAGCGTGTGTGTGTCAGCGTGTGTGTGTGTCAGCGTGCGTGTGTGTGTCAGCGTGCGTGTGTGTGTCAGCGTGTGTGTGTGTGTCAGCGTGTGTGTGTGTGTCAGCGTGTGTGTGTGTCAGCGTGTGTGTGTCAGCGTGTGTGTGTCAGCGTGCGCGTGTGTGTGGATAGTGTTGTCAATCCACTGCTGGACGACCCGCCTGACTCTGTGCCACGGTGGTTCACCCGTTCCAAGAACTAGCCCCAAGCTCATCCGCGCTCAGCTTCTGCGATGTTGACCGTCGGATCGGGAAAAGCACGCCGGGTGATGTGGTCAACGTGCGGCGTGCCTACATGGATTGAGTGCGGTGCGTGTGCTTGTATGTGACGGCTCTTTGGTTATTGGTGCCAGTGTGAAGTTGCTGTAGTTGTGGCAGCGTTGTGAATGGTGGAGCGGTGGCGCAGTGGTTAGCGCTGTGCAGCCGGAGCGGTGCGAGTTCGATTTCTGGCGACGCGAAACATGAGCGGCGAGTCAGAACCTCACTCCCCCTCCCCTCCCCCCCTTCGTTGAAACGCACTGACCGGAGTGGTGAAGTATGGTCAAACAAACCCGTCACGACTCTTCACGGCGTCGGGGTGACTTCATCCAGCAGTGGATTTATAAACAGCTGCGCGTTACAGTTAAGGCATTGCGTTGTGTATTCTAATTATGATGCATTTTTAATTCAACAAACCGCTGTAGTCTGTATGCTATTACATAGCCTGTATATTATACAGTACTGTATACTGTACTGTGTGTAATAGCATACGGCGCTTTGCCAGTCCACTGTTGCTGGATGAGGTCATTGGGGTTGTTTGACCATACTTCACCACTCTGGTCGCCGCCTGTTCTCGAATGGAGTGTTTCCCATGGCAATGCTCATAGCGCAGTGCGCTAATCGCTGCGCCACCGCTCCATGGTAGTATCCACAACAGCATGACCGTGACATTACCGAATGATATCATGCGATGGCCGTGTTGCGTATTATTAACATATGACATTATCATCATGTAGGACGTATCATATATATGGTACACAATGCATTCACACGGGTAGGGCATTGTGCCTGCACTGTGAACGCATTTGGGTGCTGCAGCCGTGTGAATGAATGGGTCAGCGTGCAGCGGAGCTCACAAATCCAGACGACGATGATTCGATTTTCCGTGGCGGCAGCTGGAACTTTGATTGATTTAAATCCCTCGGACCCTCTTCTGTCCGCCCAGCACCACAGCCGATCGAGTCGACGGGCGGTGGGTTAAAGCGTGGGTTGCTCCCACCTCTTCCAAGACCTGTGAAAGAGTAGGCCAAAGTACATTTCTAGAGTGGAGGCTTCTTCCGCCGGCAGTGGCGTGAGCGAGCAATTTTCAGGGCCGCGCCTTTACCAATTGTACACGCACGTTAAGTATGTACACTGTCATCGTCGTGATTAACCTAGCACCTGATCAACGTGCTGTACAACATCCAGGCGCCAGCACCAGGGAGGGAGGACATCTGAGATTTTGTACAGAGCCACGGGGTGAGTGCGGATTAAACAAAATTCCCGATTGCCGCGCCGGGGAATCGGACGGGCGACTTGTGCGTTCAAACCACGGCGAGAGCCCACAGCGTTGTCGCGTGTTTATACGGCGTAGTTCGCACGTTCTGAACCGCGTATAAAAATACATCTAAGCGTGGACTCACAAGAGCGTACGAATCTTCGGGGCGAATAATCATCTTGGTCCAGCACTCTGCGACATGGCAGCGCCGTTGTTTCACGCTCTATATATTCCACTGCTTCCCCCCCCCCCCCATTCATTGTTATTCACACAGCGGTCTGTCTCCTCGAACGCTCTGGGCCAGAGCTCGCAGACGATGTTTGGCAGCGGGAGCATTTAACCCCGACCACTGCGTCGTCGTCTTTCCCCATTATTCATGCAGGCTCAGTCCACGGTTGTCACCTCTCCTGGGGGTTTCCCAAGCATGCGTCCTCTTGACAAGGGGGCTGTAAGTCGTCCCGGTGTATGCGGTCGGTTACCTGTGCAGGTATTGTAATACTAACAACAACAATAACCTAGCCAGCGGTATTCAAAGGGGGTGCGAGCAATTAGAAAGGTGGCGAGTTGAACTCCTAGTTTGGGGAGTTGACTCAGCCCATCATGCCTCCAAGGGTTTGTAAAGTGAGTACTGTACAACTTTGTGCTCAAGTCATCAGTCGTTGTTCTATGGAGAGACTCGTCCCCGCCATAGGATTGTGGAATTTCCACCACTGCCTCAGGGCCGTAAGCAGGAGCGGAGCCTACGCCGTCGCCTTGATGGTCATTTGAGCCAGGAAATCGCGTGGATGTTTTTGTGCCATGTATAAATGTGATGATACACCACTCAAGACAATGTCATTAATAGACATGTACTATCCAGTATTTATCTGGTATTTTTAGATATTCAACGTCGCATGATATGACCCAGATTTCTTGTTTTGCATCTCAGAGGTGGAAACTCTAGCTCTGTGAATAATGAGTAATCCGCCAAGCTTATATTTATATGGGCCCCCTGCCAATACGCATCCCAGGCTATGTTTGCTACGATTTCAGTATTATGCACAGTGTGGCGCGTGTAGAAGCGATGCTTGTGTGTGTGTGTGTGTACGGGGAGCGGTAAGCGGAGTGGTTAGCGCTGCTGCACTACGAACCCAGCGTCCCGAGTTCATGGCGCCAACACCGGTGACGATCATCTGAACCGGTTGTGTGCCTCCCCTAGGTCGACTCAGTCTCAAATGAGTACCTTATGTGGTGCGTAAACATCACCACTGGGGAGACAAAGGCGGCCGGGTGTGGTGTTGGTCACGCACCCCCTCGTGTGCCGTGCCGGCTTTCATAGGTGCTCGCTAACAGCACTTGCCCCAACAGTCTGTTCAGGCTATACGGGGGATCTTTATCTTTGTGCACGCGGTGGTAAGCTGTTGTATACGTAGTGGTTAGCACACTGCTCTCACATCGGTGACAGTCATTTGAACCGGCTCCGGGCCTCCCATTAGGCCAACAGCATTGAAGGAGGCACGTGCTGCGATATGGGAATATCAGCATTGGGGAGACAAAGACGGACGGGCGTGGAGCAGATCGCACCAACGGATTTTGTAGTCCTCGACAACAGCGCTTTCACCAAGAGCCTGTTAAGCTTTTGGGGGGGGGGAGTTTTTATCAGTGTAATGATGATGATAAATAATAATGATGTTTAGTTTATATAGCGTTGTCTTGCATGCACATGGAATCTCTCAAATGCTGAGGAATCACAGACAAAGCTGGGAGGCAGCGCTATCAACAATTTCCCCAGCTCTGCGGTCCTCTACTTACAAAGATGTTTTCAGCCAACCAATGAGTGTTTATACAAGTGGGAGAAAACCCACGCGTGCGAGGAGGGCAACGCTCTATCCCCGTACAGATGGAAACAAGTTGATATTCGGCTCGCAGTTTGCTCTGTTGCCCTCTCCTGGCGAGCCAGGGTTTGGGCACCTTCTCGAGCCCCCACGGGATGGTAGTTTCGCAACATTTTTGTGAGCCACCAGCCCTCACTGCCTCCAGTGCTGGATCGCAGCCAGCCACGTGCAGAACCACCACCGCACGGGTGGGTCGGGTGTGCACAGGGCGAGTTAACTGCTGGGTATAAATGCAGCTTTGTGCTAAGTGGGTGGCCTATTTAAATCATGCAGACTCTGTTATGATGATGTGTGCACGTCTGGTATATCATTATTATTATCTCGATTCAAAGCTTTCGTGACTGCAGGGATTCATCTTCTTGGTTCTTTCGGTAAAGTCACGTAGAAGGGAAATAATAAAATAATACAAATAAAACATTGTATTTTAGTATGTTTTATTTTTATTATTTTATTATTTCCCTTCTACGTGACTTTACCAAAAGAACCAATAAGAAGATTATTATTATCATAGTTTTTAAAAAATCTAATTCGTGGTCACATTTAAACACTGCAGGCAGTATTGGGACGGCGTGTGTAGGTGTGGTATACGGGCGTGTGCTTGTGTGCAGCAACCGCGCAGCCCTTCGTCAATCCACTGCTTGATGAAGGGCCCTTCCGGGCCGTGCGTGAGCGCTTTGGTGAAGGTTGTAGCATGGAAGTGCAGTACAACAACGGACGCTGCTCCACTGCCCTCCATCACGTAGCCCCGCGGAGGCCTGTAACGCCGCGTATGCATGGTGGTCTCCTTGTCCGAGCGCTGTCCGGGCTCAGCGTCGCTGAGCTTCCGAGATCCGATGAGATTGGGCTTCGTTTTGGGTGATTTGGTCATAGGCACGCGAGTCTGACTTGGTCTCAGTAGGCGGTCGCATGAACTCATGCAGACAGTGCTGCGATGGTGTTGTGGCACGTCCTGACATGGATGGATTTCTTTCCGTCTATCATGCGTTCACACATTGGCCCCACTCACTGCATTAAACTTTCTCAGTGTTGTCTCATAATTTATAACACTCTGCGTTCGTAAGTCGTATTTGCTAATCCAGCTCAAATCTATCATTTCATCATCAGCCGCGCGTTATCCACTGCCGGACAAAGACCTTCCCAGTCCATCGCCATCTCTCACGGCCGTGGGATGCAACAATTCACCTAGCACCTGCACGCGAGCTCATTTCATCGCTCCATCTCCACGGCCGACGTTGTCTTCGGTGCATTCCCTCCTTCAGTCCCCTCCTGTAGTTCCGTTTAAAATGTTTGCTTAAACCTTAACAATTTACAGCACTTTGCCACTCCACTGCGAGACGAGGGCCTTCCCATACAGTGTTGGCGGTTGTGGTTCTTTGACCATACTTCGCCACTTCTCGCCAGCGTGGGTTGGTGAAGTTGTGGTGGGCGGGGTGGGGAGGGTCGGGGGGGCATCCTCCAATTCATATGTCACTCGCCACTGATGTTAGCCATGGCTGGGAATCGAACACAGGTCACCAGGCTGATGCTGCGGTGCTCTTACTGCCGCACTTGTGTAATTGTTTATGCTGTGAACCTTGAATAATTTTTTACTTAAAACTTTCGTGACTGCGCGAATTCATATTTTTGGTTCTTTTGGTAAAGTCACATAGATAGAATTTTTTTTATAAAATGAAAATAAAAGAATAAATGTAAATCAATTTTAATTTGCTTTTATTTGTAAAAAAATAATAATTTACATTTAAAAATTTTTTATTTTTCTATCTACGTGACTTTACCGAAAGAACCAAGAATATGAAAACTTGAATATTTTGTTGAACATTAGATTCCATATTTTCTGATTGTGGCTCTGTGGGCTGTTGTGCCAGCAAGGAGGGGGACATTTATTATTTCTACTGCTCAGATCCGTCGGCACCGTCGCTGAAGCTGATGTTTGTTACCTGGGTCGCGAGGTCGGCACTCAATCGGCTTTATTTAGAAATAACCTCTCAAGATGGCTCTCTGCTTTGCGTTCTGGTCGCACCGCTTCCATTTCCACAGAAGGCCCCCACGTTCTTCAACCACTCAACATTCAGCTTTTTTAAGGAACGGAATTCCGTTTTGGTAGAAGCTCCCAGGCACGTGGAGCGAAACGTCGGACATCGTGCCGAACGACATCGCACGGCACGCGGCCCGAAAACACGTTGGAGAGCTGTGCGGCACAACCGCGAAAACAAACGCAGTGACATCCAATCTCAAGTTACCATCCGCATCAGAGCAGAACTGCTCCCTACACATGCAATAGCAGAAGCCCTGGGTGGTATTTAAGCCTCCAAACCCTTGAAATCTTCCTGCTCAGCGGGTCTGTCGAAATTGTTACGTTTGACCTCATTCGACCAATTATGTGCCTTATTTAACCATGTCACAATGTGGATTTCTGGCAACGAGGGTATGGAAATGTGCAACTTGATAGCGGAGACATTTGCTTATAAATGGGTGCAAATTATTTGCAGAACACTAAAAAAAATTAAGCTTTTGAGCTGATCAACCCCACAGCTAAAATGAATGACGAGTTTCTAGAACACCCAGCAACATAACAGCATTTGTTTAATAGCCGTGACTCGACTGATGAGATCCAGAAAGTCAAACTGCTTAAATAAATTCTTTTATGAAACGATTTCGTCTGGAAAGCCCAAAATACAATAACAAAAAATATTGTAACTTAAAAAAAAATATTGATATAATTTACATAAAAATTTTATTCATCAGAATAAGCATACAATTGAGCATAGAATTACAGAGATTCCTGAGTGGTAACGTGCCTTCGTTAGGCGGCTGATCTGTTAATTGGGTGAACAGACACGTCCCAGATCACCAGCAGGTCTGGGCAGGTGCCTGGCTACGTGTGTAATGAGTGACTTCTGAGACACGTCGTGTAGGGGGCTTCTTATTTATTTCTCACACTCGGGCACAAACACTGGGCGACATATAGAAACGTATCTACAAAGCTACACACAGCCGACCTTTTCACACAGCCCCACCGTCGGCGTCTAACTAGATAGCTGGCTGACTAATGTAGCGATGACGACGATGGGAGCCGTGCAGGGGATCGGCCAAGCGGCCGGACGACGAAGAGAGATGACAGCGAGCAGCGACGCGGCCAAGACCCGGGACCCCGCGACAGCTCCGAACGATCGGTCACGCCCCCCTTCTAGAACCTTCTAGCAGGTTCCCCGAGCTTCCGACTGACCCCGCCTGTTACCTTTAACCCAGACACGCCCCCCTTGTAGTTGGTTATTATATAACACGCCCATACCCGTGATTACCCCTCCTGGCCGACAGGAGGCACCCTGTCATTACACAGGTATCTGGATTACACACAGTACAGACTGGTCTGTACCCCACACACAAAGACAAAGATCTCCCGTATAGCCTCAACAGACTGTTGGGACAAGTTCAGTTAGCGAGCACCTGTGTAGGCCGGCACGGCACACGAGGGGGTGGGTGGTCACCACCGTGCCGGACCGCCTTTGTCTCCCCAGTGATGATGTTCACGCACCGCGCCTGGCACTCATTGGAGGCAACTTAGGGGAGGCCCAGGACGGGTTCAGATAACCGTCACTGGTGTTGGGTTCATAGCGCAGTGCGCTAACCGCTGCACCACCGCTCACAATGACAGGCATCGGTGATGTGGATGTGTGCGTGACGCTCACAACACTGAGTGGAGCGTCGGGCGGAAAACACAGCGAGGTGCATCTGCTAGTTGTCTTAGTCAACCCATAGCCCCTGGGTCTGTCCTGTGACCTCCTGCACCTAGACTGGCACAGTAGTCAACCCATAACACCTGGGTCAGTCCCGTGACTTCCTCCTGCCAGCGGATCTTTGACGCTTCACGTAATAGTCTTAAAGTGTACCTAACCTGGCACAAACGCTGTGGTGACATCACCATTTAGTGCTGCCTACTGCTGTTGTAATGTGTGTGCGCATTGTTACCACGTTTATATATAACCTTGACATTGAACCGGTGATTTAACTCCATTTTGTGACAAATTGTTGTTTACTAGAAGCTGATATTTTTTGCCATTGATAATGGTGATGTTCGTGACTCCTCTGGTGGTTGCAGTGATAATACAACGCCAAGTCGCCATTGCGAATATCAAGGGACGATGATAACGATGTTGACAGCAGCGGCAATGATGATGGTGAAGACTGACGATGACGACGACGACATTGTTACGCCTCTCCCCAGGTGACCTGCTCGCGGAACAGGGCTTGGATGTCTCCTCCACGGTTGGGGGGGATTTTTCCCCCGGCGGGGGCGGCCTGGGGGGCCTTGGCAGCAGAGGAAGTGGGGTGCCGAGGTCGCTCCCTTCAGGGGGCTCGGTAACGATGGGCCCTGGCGGACGAGTCGTTGGGGGGGGCGGCGGCGTTTTCTCGGGAGGCGGCACCCCCCCAGATTTCGTCGCTGGCAATCTGGCCGAGCTGGCGCCCGAGAGCTCGGGGTACAAGCGCAAGAGCAGCTCGGTGGACTACCCAGAGTGAGTGTCGCACGTTCACTACACACCCCGTCGCTCACCCGTTCATCCACACACCCACCCAGTCACTCACCTGTTCACCCACACACCCACCCAGTCACTCACCTGTTCACCCACACACCCACCCAGTCACTCACTTGTTCACACACCCACCCAGTCACTCACCTGTTCACCCACCCACCCACCCAGTCACTCACCTGGTCACCCACACACCCTGTCACTCATTCACCCGTTCACCCACACACCCACCCAGGCACTCACCTGTTCACTCACCCACCTACCCACCGACTGGCTTGCTTACTTCATTGGCTTCAGTGTAACACTGGCATGTCGTTAGAGCTGTTCATACGATTTCCATCAATCATTAAGACAATCGATTCTCACTCACACAACGTGAGCCCCGAAATCGATTTTAATCGGCGCTTCGTTGCATGCGCCCAGTAAGAACGATCCAAAGTCGATATTAACTCAACGCAAATTCGGTTCCTATCGCCCCACCATAAAATAATTTAATGTATTTTGAGAGTCGAGGTGATTATTCTGGGTGAGTGTGCGATCAGGCCCAAATGCCCAAAACGCCAAACGGCCAACAACAAACAGCACTGTCAAAGTTGTAACAGATAGGAGTGAAACACGTTTAATGAGGTTAGTATCAGAGCAAGAAACGATGGGAGTGAATTCCAAAGTGGAGCAGTGCAATTTGTACGTATGTTTGTTGAACTTCTTTCGAACTGTACGAAGCCAACCGTGCTAATCGGAAGTGTGTCAAATTTAATGGTGCACCTCTCTCGAATTTACTTTGTGTGTTTTTCCGCAAAGTACGGTTAATCCTCAACCCAGATAACCTGCCCGCAGACCATAACGGGCTGCCTGTACGGCGACGGACGCGTTCAAGGCTGCCCCAGGTGCACGCCCCTTTCCGTCTGTTGATCTAAGACCACCGTAGGTCACTGCCGTGGGAGTGTCGATGCCACCGCTGACAACAACCTGCCATGTCGTTCTCAATTTCAGCCTCATGGACGTTGTGTTTGAGTGAGTAAGAGAGCGCGAGCTCCCCACTTCGCTGCTCGTTCGCCTTCGACGAGTCTCCGTGGGGCTCCCGTGGTGCCGGGTTACAGGGCACGGCTTGGTGTGAGCTGGTGGTTAAGGGGCTCGGGAGACACTTGAGTCTTCACCTCTGAGAAACCTGGGTTTGAGTACGGGTCTCGGACACTCGTTATTAAACCGAGTCGATGGCCACAGCCCGGTCACCGATGGCCGCGTATTATCAAAATTCCATCGCGTCGCATTGGGGTTTCTGCTTCATGTGGCTGCATTTGAGATTTGAGAATTTGGGAAACCATATCGGCTTCACTGCTCATGAGCTGGCGGTCTCAGCTGGGCCACCAAAAGACTGCACATGGAAAAAAACATCTGTGTCAAATTTGGATCCCTGCTTCATGTGGCTAAATGCTAGATATGAGAATTATTTTTAAAAATTAAAGATTGGATTGACTACCATGCCACGACAGTGACCGTTTTGTAATCCTCTCTGAGGATTACAAAACGGTCACTCGAAGGCATCTCAGATGCAGTTCCCTGAAACCCCCTTCCAAGGTGCCGCTCTGGAACCAAAGGTGATGCTTTGCGAATATCGCGAATGGACCCCGTGTCTCGCGACGAAAGTGCAGCCCCGAAGCAGAATTGGAATAAAATTTCCGAAAAAACACGACTCGCTCTTTTCTCTAAGGTTTCACTCTCTTGCTAATGCCACCGATTTCTCGCACCCTCTGCTTGTGGGTGGTGGCGGTGGCGATGGTGGTGGCGGCGGTGGTGGTGGTGGCGGCGGTGGTGGTGGCGGCGGTGGTGGTGGTGGTGGTGGCGGTGGTGGTGGTGGTGGTGGCGGTGGTGGTGGTGGTGGCGGTGGTGGTGGTGGTGGTGGTGGCGGCGGTGGTGGTGGTGGTGGCGGCGGTGGTGGTAGTGGTGGCGGCGGCGGTGGTGGTGGCGGTGGTTGGGGAAGCTTGGCTTTACTTGCTTGTCGCTGCTCTTCTTTCTCTTTCGCCGCATGAGTTAATTTATCCCTCTTTTTTTAACCGGGACAATTTCTGAGGCTTAGCGCGATTGCACGTGGCCGCCTTGGCTTAATTGCGCAAATCGCGCCTCTACTTTTGTGAAATACATGAGGGGGGGGGGGGGGGGCGCCCGTGTGGGAGTGTCGGACTTTCACAGCGATTCGTTGAGAGAGGGTGAGAGAGGGCGAGAAGGCTGGGGTGAACGGGTCAGGGGGAGCTCCGCTTCTTCCCATGATCAGCGTGGTACCTGCTGTCACAATCTGGATGCCGCGCCTCGCTGTAAGGTAGCGAATCTAGAAAATTACCAAATTATCCCCAGGATTCCGCCCTCCAATGCTGGGCACGGGTTCCAGTGGCTGGGTCTGGAAGACCCCGTACAGGCATTGATGTGTAATTGCTCACGAAATACGACCTGTTGATCCGTTCACGTAGTAAGATGTTAAATATCTTGTGTGAGGTGACGAGTGGAGAGGTGGCGTGGTGGTTATGAAACTGATGAGCTGAGTTTGATTTCCGGCCTCGATCAGTATCAGCGCCGAGTGACTGTTTCAGCCGGTCCTGGATCTCCTCCTCTTCCTTTACCAACCGCATCAGAATCTGCATCAGAATCTGTATTTTTCCTGGAGCAATCCGATGAGCTATGAAAGCTCCTTTTCACACATGTCCAGTAGTTGTGGGTCAAACAATGCCTATGATTGAAAGGTGTGAGGATGTCTTCATCCAGCAGTGGATTGACAAGGTGGCGAGATGTTGACTACTTCGCCTGGTATACAAGATATCGTGTGTTATATTACATAAAGGTCATGTAAGGTCCCATGCAGAGACATCGTATTTTTGTAAAGTCTGACAGTCACACTTTAGTGAATGTTAATTGTAAAGTAGTTTTTCCCATAAAAAATGTAATATTCCAAACTCATATCAAGACGGTTCAAGACTCAAAGCCTGGGCGTGTATATACAAAATTACTGCAGTTTTTGTTGTTCGTTTTCGAGAGCGTGTCTCTGATTGTAACAAGAGCATCCTCCAGAAGGCCAATCGTGTAAACGAGACTCAGCCTAATCTCTCGACTTCTCAACCCGGGTTAACCAAAAACGAACTCGAAGCTCGAACAACAACAAAAAACACCACCGGCTGACCCACAAAGAGCGCGTCGCGACTCGCCCACGCTCGGAAGGCACGGACTTGTTGGTGCCGACGTCCACGAACCGGAGTAGTTGTGCCACGAGGTGACGCGCCAACGGGGCCGTTTGGGAGCTGCGACGGGGAGTTGGTTGTTGAGAGAATTACGCAAAGGGGCGGTTTGCTCCAACGGCCGCGCGTCGGCTTCCATACCGCCGATTAAAACTATTATACATTTTTTTTATTTTTACCAGGTAAGGCCCACTGAGCTACTGATGTAGCTGTTTTTCTGAAGCGACCTGGCTATCACAAGTGATAGCTCAACGAAGTGGCTTCATCATCGCTTGGAAATGTATAGCAGCAGTCAAATACTATGAACGCGTGACGTTGATTCTCAATGTGGAGGGAAAAACCAGAGGACCTGGAGAAAAATCCACATGACCACGGGGAGGGAGACATACAAACTCCAAATACACAGGCGTCACGGGCGAGATCGAACCCACAATCTCTTGTATACCAGGCGAGGTAGTCAACATCTCACCACCTTAGCGCCTAGTCACTAAAGTGTGACCGTAGTTAACATACCGCCGATGAAACACCTCCACAGACAAAACGCGTGTTGGGAGAGCGTGTCAGCGGCGCGTGCGAACGCGCCATTTCCCCGAACTAAAGTTTGTTTTGTTTTGTTTCGTCCGACCTCTTCCGTTTCTCAGCAGCGATGGGTTGGACACGGAGTTCGATGCGGACGATCAGAGCAGCAGGTGGGTAGAGAGCGCAGAGAGTCACTGCCCAAGATCCCCCCCGAAGATTCACAACGTTGTCACCCTGGTACATGCATGCACACACAGCAAGTTGGCAGCGATGGGGCCAGCCCCGCCAGCCCTTGCCTCTGCCCGGCAGGAGCCTCACTGTACTTGCAATACTCTTTGGTTTTTTCGGTAAAGTCACGTAGGTATAATATAAATTAGATCACGACGTTTCGGACGCAACACAAGCGTCCGTCATCAGGCGGGACAACCACAGCAAGATACAAGCAGCTCTTTTGCCCACTTCAGCAATTGTTTCTTGCTGTGGTTGTCCCACTTGATGACGGTCGCTTGTGTTGCACCCGAAACGCCGTGATTTAATTTATTTTATTTTATACTTACTTGACTTTACCGAAAGAACCAAGAGTATGGATCCCTGCAGTCACGAAAACTTCAAATCTAGATTGTACCTGCAATGACACTGAAAAGCTGCTATTGCTTAATGTTTAATATTCAGGTTTTGTTTTCGTAACGCTTTACAATGAAGGTTGAAGGCGTTAATGCATTGGCTTTGTCCCATACGAACGACATTTTTGGCTACACCTGCGTGGCTTTTTCGGGACACTAATTCAAGAGAAAGCCGGACAAGTCCATGAAAGGGTTTCCCCAAAATTTGGTGGTAACATAAAAAAACCAGAGCTAAAAGGATTCGCCCTGCTGGCTAAGGTGGTGATGATGTCATCATGCGTGGGTGTCATCTCGCAAAGTCACTCGCCTCCCCTCCCGGCAAAGTCTCGGACACGTGACGTCACCTCGTTGGTGATTTTATCATCGCTATCGAAGCGAACACACGTTGGAAAGCGTTACAGTAATCCATGCATTATTTTTCTCTCTCCCTTGTTTTGTTTTTATAGAGGGGAGAGTGGTGACCATCCTTCCAAACCCAAGTACTCGAGGTGAGTGCATCATCGTGACCCCTAACAATTCAGCACTCTTGTCGATTCGTTCAATTATCAACTAGCATCGATTCGGCGATTAAAAAAGTGTCCATTCTCACGCCGCTTTGGCTGAGTGACTGAGCTGGCATCGCTGAGATCCTGTTTGTCGAATCCAGGCAGCCGCCTGTGATTATACGCGGCTCTGCGGTGTAGCGAGATGACACAGTCACAGCCGCCCATTCACCGGTGACTGCATGCAATGATCCATCACTTTAAACACATTCCTGCGGAGGGAGCTGGTAGGAACGTTGGGTTGCTCGGTCAATGGCCAGGGTCAACGGCGGCGTGGTGTATTCCTCAAATATGGCTGACTGTGAGGTCGGGCACAAGCCGGCGTGAGTAGGTTAAACGTTGAGTTTTATAAGGGCACCACGGGGTGACCAGCCCCTCCCCACCCAGCCCCACCCCTCCCACCCCCCACCCAGCCCCACCCTCCCCACTCAGCCCCACCCTCCCCACCCAGCCCCTCCCCACCCTCCCCACCCAGCCCCTCCCCATCCTCCCCTCCCCACCCAGCCCCACTCTCCCCACCCAGCCCCTCCCTCCCCACCCAGCCCCTCCCTGCACGACGGACACAATAATCCCCTGTGGGCTGGTGTAACCAGGAGGTTCCTACCAGTATTTAATGTATGCACTTACTTTGGCTAAATCCCAGCCCTGAGAGAGTGGATTTGTTGTGCCGTGGAACCGTGAGAGACGCAAGTGGCAATAGGGGGAGCCCTTCATCCAAAAGTGGATTGCTCATGCCTGATGATGGTGATGATGATAACCCATCCGCCTTTCTACCCCACATCTTTCTCTTCTGCTGTCTGGCCTCGCCTCTTCACATCATCGTCATCTTCGTCGTCATCATTATAATTGTCGTCTTCGATGTCATCGTCATCGTCTTCATCGTCGTCATTTTCATCGTCATCTTCATCGTCGTCGTCGTTGCTGTGCCGCGCCGCATCGCGTCGCAGGGAGGTGCACAGCCAGATCGAGCGCCGGCGCCGCCTCAAGATGAACCACTACATCGACGAGCTGGAGCAGATGGTGCCATCGTGCCGCGGCATGCAGCGCAAGCTCGACAAGCTCACCGTGCTGCGCATGGCCGTGCAGCACATGCGGGCGCTGCGCGGTACGGCGGATGCTTTTTGTTGGGGAAAAAAAAAACGTTTAACACGTAGGCTTTCGCGACCAATATCATCCATAATAGAGGTTTTGGGTTGGATCGCGTAAATATATAAATGTGTCATTAAAACCCGCCACCACCCGACACAGCCAACTAGTAAGGGTTGTCACGTAAACATAAAGTGCCAATTCGTCACTAGTACAGCACTAGGGTTTCGTCTAGTGTATAGTGTAGTGTATAGTAGTGTAGTGTATAGTAGTGTAGTGTATAGTGTATAATACTAGTACAGCACACGGGTTGTGTGTTGGAGAGCCAAGCCACAACATTTACAATCTGAGTACGACGTTTCGCCAGTAATTACAACGAGCTTCATCAGGCGACAGCCAGATTTGTGGAGAAGTCCACCTGTTTCGTTCCCTATACAGAGGCGTAGATGTGGCGACCACACCAAAAGTGTTTCAACGGATCTCCTCCCGCGTGTGCGCTGCCTTGCCCGCAGGATCCACGACGGCCTACACGGAGGCGAACTACAAGCCGGCCTTCCTCAGCGATGACGAGCTGCAGCACCTCATCTTGCGGGTGAGTGGTGGCTCTCTGCGGCCTCCTCTGCCTCGCGAAAATCTCACCTCCCCCCCCCTATCACCGCCGCCGCCCGGTCTCCGTGCGACTCACCGGCGATATCATCTTCTTGGTTCTTTCGGTAAAGTCACGTAGAAGGGAAATAATAAAATAATAAAAATAAAACATAATAAAATACAATTCTCATGACGTTTCGGCCACAACGCAAGCAGCCGTCCTCAGGTGAAGAACACGGCTGTCGGATATTTGACACGCGCAAGCCCTTGGACAGTTGCCCGGCCGTTCAGCCGTACTTCGCCGCACCGTTTGCAGCTCCGTTGTCACGCACGACCGATGTTGGCCGTGGGCAGGCGTTGACCCGTCACTTCTCATCACTCAAGTCGCGAATGTTTGCCGCACCGTGAGATAAGATGCAAATTGCGTCGTCCAAATCGTGCGTCTGGAGAGTTGCGGTACGAGTAACGTGGTCGTCTGGCGAACCCTGCACCCCCCCTCATGTGCCCCCCCCCCCATGCCCCCCCCCCTTCCCGTCTCCTGTGCCCCCACGCTCACGACGCTGGTACCACCATGAGCAGCAGGCTTCGGACGGATTCCTCATTGTGGTCGGTTGCGACCGAGGCAGGATCCTTTTTGTCTCCGAGTCCGTCTCCAAAATCCTCAGCTTCTCGCAGGTAAGTTCCAGTGCCGGGCCGACGTAGTCCTAACAAGGACGAGAACGGTCCACACGTGTCTCTTTGTGTCTCCGAGTCCGTCTCTAACACCGTCGGCTCCTCACGGTAGCTTCCAGCGCTCGCCAGCATCTTGTCCGGTGACGCTGAAAGGCGAAGGTCAAGAGGTCTACGCGGCCGATGCCGATGATGCCACCATGGTTTGCTGGCGCTTCCTTCCGCTAGATCGTGTGGTTGCTGCGAAGTCGACGGCCCTGAGTCCGAGATCGAGTCTCATTTACCATCCTCGCCGCCACTACTGGTTGGCTTGGGTCTTCCCCTGGCGACAAGGTTAGCGTGTCCTTTACGGACCGCTCTCAACAGTGTGTGTTTGCACGTTGTACACGTGTGGATATTTTGTGCGTTAGTGAATGTCATATACTCCTGGATGGTGCGTGTTGTCCAAGCATGTTGTGCGTGGTGCGTGTTATGTGTGTGAATCCATACACGCAGTGCGCCGGGTGGCTAAAATGCAGCAAGGTTGGCATCGCGGGGAGCTCGGGTGATGCATCTATTGGTCATCTCAGTGAACCCATAACACCTGGGCCTGTCCCGTGACCTGCCAGCAGCAGCAGCAGCGAGAGCCTTCCACACGTCACGTGACGCCAGCGCCACTCAGTGGGGAATGGCGGCTTGCTGTTGTAGTTGCACACGCGTGCTGTGTGTGTGTCAACATGTCCTTGTGGAGAACGGTTAGCGCACTGCGCTACTAACCCAGCAGCGGTGACCCGAGTTCGATTCCCGCTCACGGCCACAAACACTGGTGACGATTATCTGAATTGGTCCTGGGCCGCACCTAGGTCGACTCAGCCTCAAATGAGTACCTGGTGCAGTGTATAAACATTGCCGCTGGGTAGACAAAGGCGGCCGGGCATGGTGTTGGCCACCCACCCCCTCGTGTGCCGTGCCCGCCTTCATAGGTGCTGCTCGATAACAGCACTTGCCCCAACAGTCTGTTCAGGCTACACGAGGGATCTTTGTCTTTGCTGCACACGCGTGTTGTGCCGTGCCGCGTGCGCGTTGCCTCTGCGAATGCGCACAGAGCGAGCTGGTGGGACAGAGCCTCTTCGACTACCTGCACCCAAAGGACATCGCCAAGGTGAAGGAACAGCTCTCGTCCTCCGACACGGCTCCCCGGGACCGACTCATCGATGCCAAAAGTGAGCACGGACACAGCCGGCGTGCGGCAGCATCCATCATCATCGACGACGACGATGATGGCATCGATGATTACAAAAACGAATACGACGACGTTGGCTATAATGATGACAACGCTGATGGATGCAATGATGATGATGACGGCGATGATGGCGGTGATGATGACGATATTACGATGTTCACGAATACAATGACAATATTGATGGATCTTCTTGGTTCTTTCGGTAAAGTCACGTAGAAGGGAAATAATAAAATAATAAAAATAAAACATAATAAAATACAATTCTCACGACGTTTTGGCCACAATGCAAGCAGCCGTCCTCAGGTGAAGAACAGGTCTGGATGGAATGATGATGACGGTGACGATGAATACGACGACGACGGTGATGCGTTCGAATCAAACGACGGTGGCGATCGTTGCAGCGGGGCTGCCGGTACGCACGGACGACGTCCACGCCGCGCCGTCGCGCCTCTGCTCCGGCGCGCGCCGCTCCTTCTTCTGCCGCATGAAGAGCAACCGGCCGTGCGCCACCGTTCGCCCAGACGAAAAGCCCTTCTCCACGACCTCCTCCTGCTCCAGGAAGAAAGGTCGGCGCCTCCATGCCTCTCCACCACTTTCCCCTTCCCCGCCCGCCTGCTCACTTTTCGCACCGGTGCTGTTTGTTGCTGGCCGCTGGGTGTGCATGTGTGTGATCAGATGTTCCGTAACTTATTTTGACACCGGACACACATTTGGGCCTTACATCCCAGAGCGTCTCATTATCAGGAGTGAGTGTAATTGTGTTGTCGATGCCATGGCCTGGGAGCGGTCTTTCGCGGTGACGTCATTATACCCTCGTTATCTTCATCATCATCAACATCACCACCATCATCAACATCATCATCATCATCAATATAATCAACATCATCATCATCAACATCATCAACATCATCATCAACATCATCAACATCATCATCAACATCATCATCATCAACATCACCCTTATAGATGGACTCACGTGGCTACAACGTAAAAAATAAAGCGAAGAGCGTACTCCGTAATGCCCGCGCGTGTCCACAGACCGCAAGAGCTTCTGCACCGTGCACTGCACGGGCTACCTCAAGAGTTGGCTCCCGGCCAAGGTGGGCCTCAAGGAGGAGCAGGAGAGCCGGGAGGCCCCCCACGGTTCCTCGGGGGGGGCGGCGGCGGCGGCGGCGCCGGCGGCCGGCGGCGGGCCACAGGATGGCCCCGAGGCACCGGGGCTGGCCTCGGGGCTGGCGGGAGGAGGCCCCCTCGCCAGCCCGCTCAGCTGCCTGGTGGCCATCGGCAGGCTGTACCCGCCCGCGGCGCCGGCCGGGACTGGCTGCGTCGCGGCCGCTTCCGGCTGCGCCCGCCGCAACGGGGGCCCCGGCGCGGGCGACGCGGCGTGCCGGTTCGGCGGCACCGCGACGATGCCAGGCGGACGAGGATTTTCGGGTGGCGCCGGCGCCAGGCCAGGGGAGATCCGCGTCCGCGCTGCCGAGTTCGCGTCCCGGCACGCGGTCGACGGCAAGTTTGCGTTCGTCGACCAGAGGTTTGCCGCTGCCCGCACAATCTCCGCCGCTGGGGATACAAACCCAGGTTGATGGGCTTCGAGCGCGGCGCGCGTACTACCGCGGCGCTGTTCCGCGCACGCAAATGCAAAGTAATCGCCGCGTGCGGGGTTTCGATCGATGTACTTTTGGGTGCCCGGGATTGGATACGAGTGGAGGAATCGGTGCGAGCCTGGCACGTGGCTGAGCGAATCCTCGTCCCGCGCGTTGACGCCGCCGTCTGTGGCAGGGTGACTGCGCTGCTCGGGTACTTGCCCCAGGAGCTGCTGGGCACCTCGTGCTACGAGTTCTTCCACCACGACGACCTGGCGCACCTCGCCGAGAGCCACCGCCACGGTACCGAGCGCCCGCGTCCAGGGGTTTAGACTAATAGAAGGAGTCGCGGCCATTTTCGATCGCTGTGTTTTGGGGCCAGGGGAGGAGCAGCGGATATGTAAAAGCAGGCAGACAGAGGACCTACCAGCTTACCGTGCATCTCGATTGATCACCCTGAATATTCCGCAGCTTCATACTGTTTTTCCCCCACTGAAAACTAATTTCTTTAGAACTGAAATGAAGTTCTGCAGCAATAACGGTACCAGATTTCGGTACAAATCAATTCCCGCCACCCAAACACGAATGCCAATGTCCAGACTGTCTGGATTCAAACTCGGACAGGTGGCAACTCGGCCGAACTGCTTTTTGTGTTTCCTTTGCTGTCATTTCCAGCGCACCTCCGATTAGCACGGTTGGCTACGTACGGTGCGAAAGAAGTTCAACGAACATACGTACAAACATACGTCGAGCCGAAGCTGTGTTGGGGTCATACCGAGGTGCCCTGGTTGTTGTTCCACCGCAGAACCCAGAGTCGTGGCGCTGACATCACGCGCAAGCGTATTGATGACGAAATGTGTCTGTGTATGTGTCGTGTGTGTGTGTTAGTCTTGCGTGTGTGTGTGTGCGTGTTAGTCTCGTGTGTGCGTTAGTCTTGTGTGTGTGTGTTAGGCTTGTGTGTATGTGTGTGTTAATCTCGTGTGTGTGTGTTAGTCTTGTGTGTATGTGTGTGTTAATCTCGTGTGTGTGTGTGTGTTAGTGTCGTGTGTGTGTGTTAATCTCGTGTGTGTGTGTGTGTTAGTGTCGTGTGTGTGTGTGTTAGTCTCGTGTGTGTGTGTGTTAGTCTCGTGTGTGTGTGTGTGTTAGTCTCGCGTGTGTGTGTTAGTCTCGTGTGTGTGTGTGTTAATCTCGTGTGTGTGTGTGTGTTAGTCTCGCGTGTGTGTGTGCATTGCGAGCACGTGCCTCCCCGCGGTGCGGGTACCACATGAGCTGTGCGCGCGGCTGCCGTCAGTGCTGCAGACGCGGGAGCGCGTGACGATGGGGCCGTACCGGTTCCGCTCGCGCGACGGCTCCTACGTGGTGCTCCGCAGCCAGTGGTTCAGCTTCCTCAACCCCTGGACCAAGGACGTGGAGTACATCGTGTCCACCAACACGCTCGTCTCGTGAGTGTCGCGAGTCTCCCCGCTCGGCACCAAATTTGTTTTTTCGAGGGCATGGGCCCCACTTGGTTGTTCCATCGGTAGCTGGCCACGCATTTCTTAGATATGTAGGCCCAGCGAATATTACTTCGAGCTAATCCATCTTTAAAAAAACACACACACTTGTGATGTTTTCACGGAAATTACAAAACCTCTCCGGAGACAATCGTTACAACACTCACCACCCAGCTCACCCAACACCACCGGCGCCCAGATCTGTACCGATGGGGGGGGGGGGGGTGGGCAACATCGAGAGGACAAAGCACATGAACGTTTAAAATAGTTCCTGTTAAATGAGTGACGTTACGCTACGTGCCAGCGCGATCAGTCGCGTGCGTCCCTGCCTCTGACGCGCAACGCGGCACGCCACTCGGCACGCACGAATTCATCCCCAGGGGCTCCCTCGACGCGGCGGTCCTCAACGCATGCAGAGCGTCCGTTGAATTTGTTTTATTCGCGAGTTAGTTAGGATACCTCACAAAATAGACAGTTGGGTTAAAATATTGATGTTCATTATTCATACATTTATTTCTCAGAACCATGTCGGGTCAGGCAAGGGGTGGGGGGGGGGGGGTTTATTCGGTTAAAACAAAATTCAACCAGGGGGGGGGTGTTACAAGTAGCCGACAAAGCTTTAAGAACCAGCGAGTGTTAACGGAACGGCTTGTCGGCTCCGTTTGTCGTTTCCGCTCTTGAGGAACGGCAGCGTCGAGGGCCTCGCCTCGGCCACGATCATCACGCAGCCCGGGGCCTCGCCTGGACGGGACGGCCGGCCACAACCTCTCGACGGTACGTTGGGGAGCTTGGTCCCAAACTCACGGTTTTTCTTGGCCTTGAATCCGGGAAAGTCGCCGTTCCTGCACGTGATCGTCAGCCGAGATGTTCTTGTCGCCAGGCCTCAAGCGGGGATTGTCTCCCAGCGTTCCGGGCCTTCCGGGCGGAACGCGGCTCGGAGCCGGGAAACTTGGTCGCACGATTGCCGAGGAGTTCTTTGAGTCCCGAAGCAGGTTAGTAAGTCCGTGGGTCTCTCCGTGTAAATCCACGGGTCTCTAGTTAGGTCGATGGGTGTCTGTGTGAGTCAATAGGTATTTGTGAATAATACTGCCTTAAAAGATGATATCTATAACAGGCGGAATTCCAGGCAGTGGCCCCTTGTTCCTAAACACATCTCGGAGCACGTCACCTCGAAGAGAAGTCCCGTCCACCGTGCAAGAAGGAAAGACAAACGGAGAAGTAAGAGAGAAGAGATACGGAGCGTGGCCAACGACAACCACCCCCACGCCATCTTGCAATGGCGGACAGAGCGCCTGGGAAGAAAGCCAAGGCTTCCTCTCTCCTCCTCCAAGAAGATAAGACCTGTCCCGGATCCTGAAAACTTCTGTCAACCTGATAAAGGGAGATGGCCATGAGATTTTATATTGGTTACAGATGTACGGTGGTGACCCTGGAAGAGGGAAGAGCCTGTTGCGTTGCTTCATGTTTTGTATTCCGTACGTTAACCACGGCGCCACCGGTCCACCCTCTACTGTGACGTATTGATCAGAAATTCAGTCATTTTACGAACTGCTTTTTGTGTTTAGTCTGTTGTCCTTTCCCGCACCTCCGATTAGCACGGTTAGAAAAAGAAGTTCCACATACGTGCGTATAGAATGGAACAACTTCTGAAAAGTGCGCAAGGAAGCAAAGAGAAGGTGCATGCTTGTAATTGTGGAACTGAATCACATGGATCGAGTCCGCGTTCGCTGAAAAACCTCATACCGGGTTCCTTGTGAAAATGAAACTCTTATCTAATTAAACATCCGCTCCTGGACATGAATTTCCACCTAGCAGTTAATGACGCAGGTGCGTCCGCAGGCGTGATGGAGTGTTGCACCACACCGATCGTGCGATGTGTGCGCGTGTGCATCTGCTCAGGTTGCGATCGTCTCCATCCAGTTGCGACTGCAGTCCCCTGCAGCCAGACTCCCGGACGCCGCCTCCCTCCAACACGCCGTCGCCCGGCAACAAGGTCGCTCTGCACACTGTTGTCCTGCTGTTGGAGGCTGTGGGCACCATTTTACGCGACGAAGAGAATCCATTCGGATCTCTCGCACGGCAGTGTGACCCTTCGCGCTGGAGAATGGATGATGGATGTCACAGAGCTACCTCTGAGATCCCTTCTAGATTGAAAATTCGTTCCTTTAGAACTGCTTTTTGTGTTTAGTTTCTTGCCCTTTCCTCGCACCTCCGATTAACACGGTTGGCTACGTACGGTGCGAAAGAAGTTCAACGTGCATACATGCAAGTGACGTCTGCGCCACGAGGCTCCGTTCTTGGATTGGCTTGTTGGCTTGTTCTTCCTTAACGCCGCGCTCTGTGGTGTCGTGCGTTGTGCCACGGTACGCAGCTGCTCACGGTGGAGTCTCCGTCCCCTTCGGCCCTGCTCCCGCCCACGGACATGAGCTCCTACCACGGTCCTCTGGGTGAGCACACCGCACTCGGCGCGGCCAATCCGCTGCTGGATGAAGGCCTGCCCAACCCACCGTCACCACCTCTCACATTTAATTATTATTCTCCTTTCATTATTGAGACGAAGTTATTGCATGCACCTGGCATGCACCTGATGATCGGTAAGCACCTCCTACGTCACATAGCACTGATTCTGGCCACGAAGACTAGGCCGCCCTGGCTGCTTTGACTAGGCCGCCGATTAGCACGGTTGGCTACGTATGGTGCAAAAGAAGTTCAATATACATACAACATACAATGAGAAAAATAGACTTTACATTACAGGCGAGTGCGCCATTATGGTTATTCTGCCCTGATGAAAAGGGAGGGAGGGTGAAGTTTTTGTTTTACAGTTGTGAAAAAAACGACCTATACCAATTACAAAAAATACAAACAACAAAACAATTGTTTTACAATTACAATTTTTTTTCTCTTGTCCTATTTTTTTACTTCCCCGCATCCCGGCGTTGCCCAGGCGACACGGACTCCCTGGACCTCGACCTCATGAACAACCCGGGCAGCCCCGACGACGACGTGGCCATGTCCGTCATCATCAACCTCCTGGAGGCCGACGGAGGCCTGGGTGGGCCTGTGGACTTCAGCGACATGCCCTGGCCATTATGACTAGGCCACCCTGGCTACTATGGCTAGGCCACGCTGGCCACTAGGACTAGGCCAGCCTGGCACTATGACTAGGCCACCATAGCCACTATGACTAGGCCACGCTGGCCACTATGACTAGGCCAGCCTGGCCACTATGACTAGGCCACGCTGGTCACTATGACTAGGCCAGCCTGACCACTGTGACTAGGCCAGCCTGGCCACTATGACTAGGCCAGCCTGGTCACTATGGCTAGGCCAGCCTGGTCACTATGACTAGGCCAGCCTGGCCACTATGACTAGGCCAACCTGGTCTCTATGACTAGGCCACGCTGGCCACTATGACTAGGCCACGCTGGCCACTATGACTAGGCCACGCTGGCCACTATGACTAGGCCAGCTTGGTCACTATGACTAGGCCAGCCTGGTCACTATGACTAGGCCACCCTGGTCACTATGACTAGGCCAGCCTGGCCACTATGACTAGGCCACCCTGGTCACTATGACTAGGCCACCATGGCCACTATGACTAGGCCAGCCTGGCCACTATGACTAGGCCACCATGGCTACTATGACTAGGCCAGCCTGGCCACTATGACTAGGCCACGCTGGCCACTATGACTAGGCCACCATGGCCACTATGACTAGGCCACCATGGTCACTATGACTAGGCCAGCCTGGCCACTATGACTAGGCCACCATGGCCACTATGACTAGGCCAGCCTGGCCACTATGACTAGGCCACGCTGGCCACTATGACTAGGCCACCATGGCCACTATGACTAGGCCACCATGGTCACTATGACTAGGCCAGCCTGGCCACTATGACTAGGCCACGCTGGCCACGATGACTAGGCCAGCCTGGGCACTATGGCTAGGCCAGCCTGGCCACTATGACTAGGCCAGCCTGGCCACTATGACTAGGCCAGCCTGGTCACTATGGCTAGGCCACGCTGGTCACTATGACTAGGCCACCATGGCCACTATGACTAGGCCACCATGGTCACTATGACTAGGCCAGCCTGGTCACTATGGCTAGGCCACGCTGGTCACTATGACTAGGCCACCATGGCCACGATGACTAGGCCACGCTGGCCACGATGACTAGGCCAGCCTGACCACTCTGACTAGGCCAGCCTGACCACTCTGACTAGGCCACCCTAGCCACTATGACTAGGTAACTAGGACAACCTGGATGATTAGACTACGCTGCCCTAACCAAATCTAAGGATTTGAATCAGCACTATATTACATGGGAGGTGTTTACCAATCATCAGGTGCATGCAACGTGTAATTGCAATTTATATTTAAAAGAAAATAATTGGTAAATGTGGGAACGAGTGCCATTTTGCGTTATGAGTAATGGTGTTTCGGAAGAACCTTGTCGAAGGTATGTTTTCTCTTAACTTCTATTACTTTAAACAACAGACGAAGGACAGTTCTTACTAATGTTATGCAACTAGCCCGCAGCCTCCCCGCAGCGGTATGCCACAGTAGCGTCAAATGCTGTAGAGAGGGTTGGCCTCTTACGCTTTGGCCTAATACTACTAGGATATCATTAGCCCAACAGTGTACGGCTGTATTCTTGTCCCTTTGGTTCAACTTTGCGGGTGAAACTTTAAAACACATTTTACTTAAATCCGTGTGAGCATCGTGTCGTAATTGATGTTTATTTGAAGACACAGAGAAATAAATATTCTACCGAGGTTCGCCTAACTGTAATTACGGAACAGGATGTTTTTAACTCAATAATAAAGAGGGCTTTTTCATATTGATGTCGAAGCCCCACTCTTAGGCAGCTTGGTGGCGGTATGGCACCTTTGCCAAATTGGGTGCTCGCGTTTTCACCTGGATACACTCGGCACAATAGCTCCCCCCGTGTGTTTCGGGTTTGCACCGTGCAGAACAGTATGCATCAGGAGAGCTATGCAGGACAACTCCGCGAAAACCTATGCAGCAGTATTACTTGAAGTTACAACTCCGTGGTGTTTACACCCAAGCTTCTTGCCAACGAGGCCATGTGATGGTGGCCTCATGTCGCGTTTCCGTGGCCGTTAAAAAATTTACCCGTAAAAACAAAGTTTTTCACTATAAATCCTTTATATGCGTGGTGGCTAGAGTCCTCTCGTCCTCTGGCTTGAGATGGCTGCCACCTATGGGTCAGATGATTGCCTGCCACCATTAAGCAATTGGTAATTAAATATAAAAAAAATGTCCTAAAAAGTGTAAAATTTTGGAAAAAAATTTTCACGAAAATAAATTGTCACGCACAACGAGCCTGTGTGCAAAATGTCAGCTCGATTGGATCACGGGAAGTGGGTTAAAAAAACGACCGAAAGATTTGCACGGTCGTAAGCGCGCAAGCAAGTGAACTTAATATAAAGGATTTAAAAACCAGATCTGGCCCACGGTACGTCCCAGCACAACTCATTTCTTGCCCCCGACACGTCGTGGCTGTGTGGTTCTTTCGTCTCGGCTCCGAATCTCCCTTTGCTTCCTTCCTTGGTGTCGGTTACACTGTTCCAAGATTTAACAAAAATAATGTCATCATTAAAAAAATATTTTCCATAGATTTAAAAAAGAAAAACGTAAACACAACCCTGAAGCTGACCAACGCGAGAGTGCCTCGTTGAAGACTCTCGTCTTCCGCGTTGACCCGATGATGCCGTAAACTCTTTCCAAGGGTGGTCCAAATGAATGAGAGTAGCTCTCTTTTGGAGAGTGGGCTACCTGGCCTACGAAAAAATGGGCTGCAGGGCCAGCGTAGAGCTCACGCACCCTAAGGCAGTCCGCCACAGGGAAAACCCCGAATGACCCCAGTGGCCCGGTTCACAAACGGGGGGGTCGGTTCGCTTATCGGAGGGGGAGCTCGGCACTCAATGAGACTAAAGAAGGACGCAAATGTGTCGTGATGCACATCTGCACATCTGTGTATGGGGGAAATTAAAAGTTTGGGGACGCATTGAAAAAAATAACTTGATTCGCTTTGCACGTGATCTGGGCACTTGAGTTAATTTGTTCTAAATTATCTCTGTTATGCTGAGGCATTCCCTGGATGCAAGGCTTTAAATTTGCATCAAATGTCAGCACCCAACCGAATGTCATTTGATGCCACAGCGGTGTAGCGATTCATTGTTGAGTTGTTACCTTTTCCACTGTAGACCAAACCCAAAAATATTTACTCAATCAGCCTAGATCTATCAGCACTGTGCAGTTCACTGTAATACAGTTCAATAGCAATACAGGTACCAGATCTCAGTACAAATCTATTCCTGCCACCCAAACACAAATGCCAATGTCTGGACTGTCTGGATTAAAACTCGGACAAGTGCCAACTCTGCCGAACTGCTTTTTGTGTTTAGTTTGTTGTCCTTTCCCGCGCACCTCCGATTAGCACGGTTGGCTACGTACGTTGTGAAATAAGTTTTACGTACACACGTGCGTGCAATGAAACTGCACTGGGGCACACGGGATGGAGGGGCACTGGGTCTGACCTACGTAGGGGGGTGGGAAGACATTGACCAAGGGGCCCCATTTAATTGCTTGCACCAGGCTCCATGGCGACCACACTACCGCCACTGGCCACATGGGCTTGTGTGTGACTTATTACAGAGGTCTGTTGACCATTTGGAACACCTGGTTGACGCGGATGCAACTGAACAGTAAATTAAATGACAGTTTGGAACACAAAATGGGAAGAACAATGTCCGTCTAGTTCAGGGGTCGGCATCCTGCTGACTCCGGAGGCGCGTGCGGCTCTTTAAGGACCAAAGTGTGGCTCTGCTTGGTCTTGGAAGTCCAGTTCACCACGGAAGTTTAATTCACCACGGAAGTCCAATTCACCATGGAAGTTAAGTTCACCATGGAAGTTTAGTTCACCATGGAAGTCCAGTTCACCATGAAAGTTCAGTTCACGATGGAAGTTTAGTTCACCATGGAAGTCTAGTTCACCATGGAAGTCCAGTTCACCATGGAAATTTAGTTCACCATGGAAGTCCAGTTCACTATGGAAGTCCAGTTCACCATGAAAGTTCAGTTCACGATGGAAGTTTAGTTCACCATGGAAGTCTAGTTCACCATGGAAGTCCAGTTCACCATGGAAATTTAGTTCACCATGGAAGTCCAGTTCACCATGGAAGTCCAGTTCACAATGGAAGTCCAGTTCACAATGGAAGTTAAGTTCACCATGGAAGTTTAGTTCACTATGGAAGTTCAGTTCACCGTGGAAGTCCAGTTCACCATGGGAGTTTAGTTCACCATGGAAGTCCAGTTCACCATGGAAGTCCAGTTCACCATGGAAGTCCAGTTCACCATGGGCAGCTGTCGGCCACCTGCGTCTCCGGAGCCCGCACGCGGCTCATCAAGGAACTGTTTGGTGACGTCATTTATTAAGGACCCACCGTCTCCTGTCCACGTGCATTGTGACCCTCGAACTATTGAGTTTTTTTTACCGAATAGTAACACAAAATGTGCTCTTCTTGTTGTTTTGGTTGCCGACCCCAGTTCTAGTTCAATATCCTTGAGACTCTTTCACATCCCCAAATCAACTTGGTTAAAGGTGCAGCCCCTGCAATGGCCCTGCCCACGCCACTGCTGGCACAAAGGCCCCCCCCCCCCCTTCGCTCGAGAGAAACTCTGGAGAAAACCTCGAGACTTTTGAGGGTACGTTGGCCTCGCCTTGCACGCTGGCCAGATGTCTTAAGAAGAGGTGGCGGTACCCACACTACTATACCCCACCGCACACGACTTTCCGCTCGACTAACCGTTCACCGCATTGTTAACCATGTGCAGCAGTACTGCACGGTGCGGCTGGGTGGACAGAAGTGGTTGGGGGGGGGGGGTTAAGAAGCTTGCACCATTGTTCATGGTTTTGTTTGTTGCGGTTGCACCCGATTCAAGAGCCGCATGGCTCACAGGGCTATACCTAATAAATGAACTGAACTGATTGTTACGACTGCCGCGCCGGGAAATCGAACCTGTGCAGTGCAAGTCCAGTGTGAAAACCACTGCTGTGCCGATCATGTGAACCCGTCTGGGTAAGCTGGGTAATCGAGAAAGATGTAAAGTTACACTTTGGTGAATTTCTCTCGCGGAGGGCAAGTTGGTTGTAAAATGTTCGCGACAGATTACGACAGCAGTCAAAAGCTTCAGCACGTTCGATAACGTTTGATGTCGCACGTACGGTTCAAAATCCCGTGAGTTATATTGCTAACAAGAGCAGAGCTATAAAAAATATTAAACAGTCCAACACGTGTGCTTCACAACTTTGCCTCTGAACAGGATATACGGCATATTTATAGAGAAAGCAATGTTTTTATTTTGGGGCAATCGCCGCTTTCATCTTCGCCATGAATCCAGGGCCATTGCCTAGAACGTTGCCGACACCACGCCCGGCCGCCTTTGTCTCCCCAGTGGGAGATGTTTAGTAACAGACTGCACCGGGTACGGTGACTCATTTGAGGCACGTGCGCGCCTACCGGATTTCAAGACAGCTCACCCCAAATGTTGATTTTTAAAGTGCAGGATAAAAAGTGCGTCCTTATAATCTGGAGAATACACGGTGCGTACAAGTGGTGTTTTCCCTCCCCTGTTCTGTGTGCGCGCTGTTATTGACGAATGTGTTTGTGTTACGCAGTCCAGCGTGTGATTGTGCAGCACTGGTACGGGTTTTATGGTTGACATTGTTGAGCAGAGGACAACGATCGATCGAAATTCGTCCCTGGCTCTTTCGCTTCCTTGAAGTGCCGCACTTGAAGCGTTCGGTCTGAAAGCCGCGGGGCGTTTTTCGCCGTTCCCGTCGACGTAAATGTTTCCCCACGTGATTTGTTTTCTCCTATTCACGCTGCTGTACATTTATATATGCAGGTTTCAGAGATCGTTTAACAAGTTCTTGAAATTTTTGCACTCTTTAATGTTTTTACAAACATGCAGGATTTTCATTACTTTTTTATTCTCATTATTGTTATGATCTTTTTTTTTTAAAGTAAAATAGACGTAAAGTTACAGGTGTTTGGCTGTTTATTTATCCGTTCAACTGCTCTTACCCACGCTACAGGTCGAGCGCCTTAATGCACGGCTGGCCACGTACGGCGCGAAAGAAGTTCAACATACACACTGTGCTATGGAGGTGTTTGTTAAATGTCGAACTGAAAAAATTTTAGGTCTTCAGAGCTGCAATAACAAACCAACATCAGGGAGCATAGCGCCGAACTGTCAACCAATGAGACGCGAGCTTCAAATCCATTCCACCCCCGCCCCCCCTAATGTCCAGAATAAACGCCTCATTCAAGGGCCAAACATCGCACCTTCTGGCTTTAACATTCCCCTATGAATCAGAATATTCCTACTGGAGGAATCCGATGCGCTATAAAGCTCTTTCACAGATGTCCAGTAAATGCGCCGGTGGAACCCATCAACCACAATGGTGTAACATCAACAGGCCGATGTTAATTTCTTCAAAAGTAACAAAAATAAACTAATGCCCAGCCACAGTGCGATTGTGACGATGCAGTCCAAACTGTGTACCCTGTTGTATAAACCACTGTCGTCTGCGATCCTTCAATGGAGGGGGGATAAAAACAACTCCACAATCGCTCTCTCGAAGCCCCCTTGTGGTAAGTAGACCTCGACATTGGCACTTCGCTCCTGAACGAACATTACTGCCATTTGCGAGAATACATTACACGAGAGATAATCATTACAATTTCATTTTATATAGCGTAATTCATGCAATTGCATCCCACAACGCTGCCGACACCAATTATCCGGTCCCTTACACAGATTATACAAAAACAAAACCCCCCATCGCTTAGAAAATCAAAAAGAAAAGGATGAATACATGAATAACGAGGAGGGGGGGGGGGGAATGCACGTAACAATAAATGATCATCACGGAGAAATATAATTAAAATAAATAGATCCGTTCAGTCTCCATCCCCAACACGATATCACAGCCAGGATCACAAACTGCGCTTTAAGAACCCCGTTTCATCACGGCCGGCTGAAACCCGGATTCAAACCCAGGCTGTCAGCGGTTGTCGGTTCATTTCCCACGTGGTGGACACTGCGTTCGCACGCTCCGGGCGACCAGGCCACCCACCCCCCTTTCAGTTGTAATTTAAGACGGTGGTGGTCACCGCATCGCACGATTTTCACGATTGCTTCTGCGGCCGTCTGGAACGCTCTTCCTTCCAATATTATGAAGCCACTGGAGCTACGCACTTTTAAATCATCATCTCGATTGAAAACGAAATTCTTGATAACTGCTTTTTGTGTGGTTAGTTTGTTGTCCTTCCCCCGCACCTCCGGTTAGCACGGTTGGCTACGTACGGTGCGAAAGAAGCTCAACGTACAAACATTCCCTGGGTGACACCTTCACCGTTGCTACTCGGCAAACAGCAGCGTTGCACCCCAGTTCTTTGTGAAGCTGGCATGAACACAAACACGGCAGTGGCGTGCTTGTGTTGTGTGTGAGACAGGAAAGCGGATGTACGGGGAGAGTGGGGGTTGGCAGGTTACGAGTGGGCACTGTACGTTGTCAAGAGTGCACAGCACAAGGGGACTCGCAAAGTCCCGTAGCCGCAGTGTTCACGTCCCACACTGCGACCCACCGCTAAGGGGCCGTCCATAAATGACGTCACGCGATTTTGGACGATTTTTTACCCCCCCCCCCCCCCCGAGTCACACGGCGTCACAAAAAGTCAGACCCCCCCGCTAAAATATGACGTCACAAAGCTCTGCCCCCCCCCAAAAAAAAATATTAAACATGCTTCAAATCGCTTTAAACTATTGTCATTGTAGTGCGTATTTAATGTGGCACTGCACTCTGATGTTGTAGGAGAAAACATTTATGAAAAAGTCTATTTAATTAAGTAAAACGTGCCTATATTTATTGAAAGCTGCGCATTTTGATGTGACGTCATATCTCTCAAACCCCCCCTCCTCGTCACACATCGTCACAAATGTCTGACCCCCCCCCCCACTAGGTGCGTGACGTCATTTATGGACGGCCCCCTAACTTTTGGAAGCTCAACGGAGCCAATTCGTTCGGCCTCGCCTGAAGCAAGTCACGTGGCTTTCAATCGCGGACGTTGCCTCGATCTTAAAGGCGCTCTTCACTTAACCGTGCGGTGTGCGAGATTAAGAACGTGATGGTCTTTCAACTAACGCATGTTCCCGAGTCCTCGAGTTCCTCGTTCTATCTCTCGGTCTAATCGCAAGCACCGCACCTCTTCTCTCTCCGTGCTTCACGAGTCGCTCGCTGCCCCCCCATATGCGGCTCGTTTCCTATCGTCATCATCATCAGCAGCATCACTACCATCAGAGGGGCTGCTTGCTGGCTGGTTAAAGAATTTCAAAGATTTGTTGATATTTTGTGTCCGTGTTCTTGCACACGACAATGCTATCTAGCACCAACGCCCAACAACGATGTCGTTGCAAGGGCAGTACGGGGTGGACTGTGGCTGGAGGATTTGGGCGATCGGCGTTTTGTGGTGTCACGTGCGATGATCACGAATCATGTGCGCGTCTCTGCCTCTCCACTCGGTGGTGACGAGGCAGAGACGAGGCGCGGTGAGGTTGTCGCGAGACTCACTCCGCTGGGCTCTTTGTCCGAGTCCGCTGACATCATCTCAAAGCCAGAGCACCTCTCGTTTATAAAGGAAGACAAAAGGTGCCGTCCATAAATGACGTCACGCGATTGTGGACGATTTTTGAACCCCCTCCCCTCTCGTCACACGGCGTCACAAAAAGTCAGACCACCCCTTAAATATGACGTCACAAAGCTCTGCCTCCCCCCCCCAAAACCATATTTCCATTTTGAAAATAAAACATGCTTCAAAACGCTTTAAACTATTGTCATTATAGTGCGTATTTAATGTGCCGCTGCACTCTGATGTTGTAGGAGTGTTGTTATAACAAAAATAATTCTATATTTATTTAAAGTTGCGTATTTTGATGTGACGTTACATTTCTCACCCCGCCTCCTCCTCGTCACACATCGTCCCAAATGTCTGACCCCTCCTCCCCCCAGGTGCGTGACGTCATTTATGGACGGCCCCAAAGACAAACTCAACAACTTATCTGTGCACACATCTAACAAGGCCAGTGGGTCACGGGCTATCGAGCACCAGTTTTAAGACCTTTTCTTATTTTCGAGGGTTTTATGACAACAGCATCTATTATAAAATCGTGGCGTTCCGTTGTCCGTCAACTAAATGATAAGAGCCTTTCAGAAGGCCTCAATCAAGAAGTTATACAAATAAAGTGAAGCCCCCCTCCCTCCACCGCCAGATGTGGGGGTAGAAAGTTGATCCAACAGGTATACAAAAATTGTCGATCCCACCCCTAAATATAAATTTATTTTGTAGACATATGATGAGACACCCTACATATAATGGAGTCAGTAGTATATGCACACGTGGGGGGGGGGGGGTCAATGGGAGTGACAGGCGAGACGCCGAGAAGCCCTTGGAAGGAGCGAGAATGACACAAACTGGAAATGCAGGTTACATAGAGCTGGGCATGTGGTAGAGTACACCCAACACAGCCTTGTGCTGCGCTGTGCTTCTATGTTTACACGTCTATGCCTCCCACCCACTCTTGCCAAATAACACCTGGTAATCCAGCAAGCTTAACAAACCTTAAACTCTGATGATGAGACCCATAAGCTCGAAACCGGTCTGGACTCCGATTAATAATCCAATTGGCTGATGAACGTACGCAATATTGCACGTGTCTGTGTGTGCTGTTTGAAGCTCATGGAGGTTTTTTTTTCCAGGCCTTTATGCTGTGATGGTGCTCGCTTTGTCATATTCAGATTTGAATTCATCGGTTGTGTATAGGTCACCACGCCTTCTCATCTCACACACACTCACACAGACCGCCAGGCACTGGCTGGTTTCCCCTGTGACCATTGTGCATAGCCGAGTGACACACCCACGCACACAGTGAGTGGTGGGTAAGTCGCGAGGCTTTGGGTCGCGACGTCCTTTCATTTGGCCCCACCTCGCTCGCTCGCTACAGACCGGGAAGGACAGAGACTCACAAGAGGAGACTCAACCCAGAGCCGCGCGGTGGCTCAGAGAGCCATGGCGAGTCTGGGCCCTCAAGACGAGGTGAGTACACACACACGTGAGTGATTGAGTGAGTGAGTGGGTGAGTGGGTGGGTGAGTGGGTGGGTGAGTGTGTGGGTGAGTGATTGAGTGGGTGAGTGGGTGAGTGATTGAGTGGGTGAGTGGGTGAGTGAGTGGGTGGGTGAGTGGGTGAGTGAGTGAGTGGGTGGGTGAGTGATTGAGTGGGTGAGTGGGTGAGTGAGTGGGTGGGTGAGTGGGTGAGTGAGTGAGTGAGTGGGTGAGTGGGTGGGTGAGTGGGTGAGTGGGTGGGTGAGTGGGTGAGTGGGTGAATGAGTGAGTGGGTGGGTGAGTGATTGAGTGAGTGAGTGAGTGGGTGAGTGGGTGAGTGGGTGGGTGAGTGGGTGAGTGATGGAGTGGGTCAGTGAGTGAGTGGGTGAGTGGGTGAGTGGGTGAGTGAGTGAGTGAGTGGGTGAGTGAGTGGGTGGGTGAGTGATTGAGTGGGTGAGTGGGTGAGTGAGTGGGTGGTACGTGTGTGTATACATAGCATAGTTCACATACCTGGCTATCGCTGTGTATGTTGCTAGATGCCTGTGTGTACACCGCTTTAGGCGTGCGTACGTGCGTGTGATACAACCCCGAAACCGGGCCTCCCTTAAACGAGTACCTCGTGCAGCGTGTCAACATCAGCACCGTGGAGACACGTGGTGGTGTTGCCGGCCACACCACTTCCCTCTTGTGCCGCACCTGCCTTCACAAGGTGATCGCTAGCAGCACTCGCCCCAACGGCCTGTGCGTGTGTGTGTGTGCCACGTGGGATCTGTGTTATACCTGCGTACGATGCCTGTGCACAAGAGTTGCTCACTCACTGCCCTTGTCCACCCCCCACTCACCCAGCAGTTGTGTGTCGGCTCCACGGGGAGACACTTGTCTGTGTTCGTGTGGGGAGCGGTGGCGCAGTGGTCCCTGCACTGCGTTACGCAAGCCAGTGGACGTGGGTTGGATTCCCGGTCACGGCTAACGTCAAGTGGAGGGTGCAGTATTTCTGGGCCGATGCTGAGCCTCGCTTAGGTCGACTCAGACTTAAACGAGCTCCTTTGTGCTCGGTGTGTGTGTGTGTGTCAACACCGGGGGATACAAATGCCTTCGGACGTGGTGCGTTGCTGTCCCACGCATCACCACCACCACCACCCGCGTTGTGCGATGCGGCAGCCTTAATAGGTGCTCGCTAACACGAGCCTCGAAAGGAGTGGGTAGGACTGTTTGCATCGTCATCAAGATGCATTCTCCCGTCGTCGTCGTCGCCATCGATTGGATCATCGTTTTCACCTGACGTCATTTATATTCTGATCGTCATCCCTATCACCCACGTTCACGTCATCGTTTTCATCGCCTGACATTAATTGGATCATCGTTATCATCTGGCGTCATTATCATCAATTGGATGAACACCATCATCATCATCATCGTCGTCCACCTGGCGTCATTATATTCCGATGATCGTCCATTTTTGATCGTAATCTTTCTATCCAAACAATTGTGCACACATCTCGTGTGATGCCAGAGTCTTCCATTGATCCAGGTGGAGAAGAGCACCACGGCGAGTCTCAAGACTCGTTCTGTCGTGAGAGTCACGCTGCGTTGCGACATTGGGCCAGTTGCCACATCATTCAATCCGCTGAGTGTCCGTCTCGCTCCTGCACATCATTGGCCGATCTCATCGCTCCGTCCTCTCCCTTCCCGTTGGCTGCCATTCCACCTTCGCTCTCGTCAATTGGCCATCATCATCATCATCCTCCCGTCGAGGTGTATCTTGCTGTCCAGGCCTGCTCTGATCATCCTCTCAGCAGTCGATGTGATGATGTATCGACTGTTCCTTCATCCGTCCGCTTCTCTTCCTGTCTCTCAGTGCGCAGTGATTCCGAGCAGAATATATGAAAATACATTTCAATACACGGATTCATGTATCGGTGAACTTTTTTCGGGTTGCTGGTAGATTGTGGAATGTTGACAAGTAGCCACGGCGATAAGCAGATCGTGTGTATAGTGGTTGCGACGCGTCGGGTGCGGAATTATGTTCCGTGTTGCTCGTCGGCTGATGGGGGGTTCGCGTGATGCGTCACAAAACAAGAAGGCACTGCGAGACGCGTACCGGATAGTGGTGGTGGTGGCGGCGTGCCGCCCCAGAATGCTGTTACCATAATTGTATTACAGTTCTGACATTCATAATACAGGGTTTTTTTTGGTTTGGGTTAGATCGCGTAATTATAGATGTGTCGTTAAACCCGCCACCACCCGACACAGCCAATTCGTAAAGGTTTGTCGCGTAAACAGAACGTTGACAATTCGTTACGAGAACAGCGCAATGGTGTGTTGCAGAGTAAACCCACACAGTAATCGGTTTGTAAATGTTGTGGGTTTACTCTCCGACACACCGGTGGTGCTGTACGAGTGACGAATTGGAAAGTAGTTAAAGACTTTGCACATCCGAAACTTGTGCCCCAGTGTCTTATCATGTTGTACACATCTGGTAACACACACGAACAACAGCCGACATTCGTCACTAAGTGGCGGTGACATCACCACAGTGCTTGTGCCAGGCTAGGTGCACGTTGAGGCCACGTGAAGTGTCGAACGCCCGCTGGCAGGAGTTGAGGGTGCAGACCCAGGTGCCACGGGTCGACTGACAGAAGACTGGTTGATGCACCACCAGCTGTACCCCCTAATCCCCCCTAATCTGACACCCAGCAGGTGCCATGGGTTGGCTGACTGAGATGAGTGGCCGATGCACCACCTATGCCCCCTACGGTGCCAACTTGCTGTGTTTTAGCCCCCCAACGCTCCGCTCGTTGTTGTGAGCATCGCTCCTCTGCCCTCCGTTGTTGTTGGAGGGCACACACACACCTGGTAACACACACCTAATTATTATAAGACGCACGAAACATGGGTGCTTTAACATACGTGTGGGGAAGGTTTTGGGCGCGTCTTATCATCCAGAGCATACGGTACACATCTTAAGAACGTTACAGCTCGCTTATAAACTCGCTGTGGGCGCCCCTGAAGCAGGAGGAGCCTGGTATCCAACTCGGGTTGACCGGGTGGTTGACAGCGCAGCGCGCTCACCACTGCGCCACCGCTCCACCTCCCCAGCTCCAAATAGGGCCTTCATTGATTCGTAGATTATACGTGTTGGCCGATTTGGTAGGAATTGTGTTCACTTTGCAATTTTAGTTGCAAAGCGTCTGGTTGCTGTCGCGGCTGCGGCGGCGGCGATGTTGTGGCCAGCGCACTGCGCTACCAACCCCGTGGCCACCAGACAGAGTTCGATTCCCAGCCACGGCTACCGTCAGTGGCGAATGATGTCAAAATCCGGCCAGAACCGGTGTGGGGATCTCTCCCCTACGTCGACTCGGCCTCAAGCGAGTTCCTGGTGCGGTTTGTGTGTGAAATAAAAATAACAACGCATGAGCACTGGAGAAACAAAGGCGGTCGGGGCCGGTCAAACAACCGTAACAACTCCCAACAGTCCACTGAAGGTCATAACAGAGGCGGTGGGTTGGGGGAGGTTTCTGAATAGTTCGCTTTACGTTCCAGGAATGTACGAGCGAGCAGTTAGTGGCAATGAAGCGTTGCCATCAAGGTTATTTGTGGCTCGGTAATTTGTTGGTGTAAGACGTGCCGTGTGGTAAATTACGACTATGTACAGGTGACTGATGTTTGTCCTAAAATAACAGTAGGGTACCGTATGTGATTAAACAGACAAGATAATGACGGAGTGGAAGCCAAAGGAGGGAGGGGTCCCTCGGAGGACAGCCAGCGCAGAGATGGAGCGTTCAGCTTCGTGTGCTGATTCGTGTGGAATTGAGAAGCCTTCATCCAGCAGTGGATTGATTATTCGCTGATGATGAGGCCGAGGGAAGCCTTAATCCAGCAGTCTGTTGATCATTAGCTGCTGATGCATAGGGAAGCCTTAATCCAGCAGTGGGCTGATTATGAGGCACAGGGAAGCATTCATCCAGCAGCGGAGTGATGATCGATGATAATAACAGTGATCAATGGTGTTCAGCAGCATCTGTTCATGCAGACAAACCCTGACACAGGGGCTGTTGGAGTTCAGGTTTTCTTTTGTGACTTTCCAGAAATAATTATTAAAAAGGGTGTTTTCACTTTGACATTATTTGTTAAATACGGTGTATTAAACCTGGGAGGTATGTTGCCCGCACCGCTAATGACTCTCGACATTCAATAGAATGGATGTTCGTGTTTGTTGCTGCGACTCCGTCATCGCTCGGCGCTTCCTTGCCGCGCCGCGTTTGTTCCGATGTCTGTGTTCAGGGTCCGGGCGCAATCGGTGACATTCACAACAGCGGTGATGACTCCCTCTCTTCATCCATGTGGCCCTCTCTTCACCCTCATGATCCTCGTTGACTTGAGTCGGTTTGGAGCATCGATGTCTCACTCAGAAGCAATCCTCAAACTCACCGACAGGCAAATGACGTGGTGATGGTGATACTGCTGTTGCTGCTGCTGAACAAACAGCGATAACAACGCAAGACTTTCATCGATAACACCGCAAAATAGGCGACGTTTCTGACAATGGCCCTTCTGCATGGCATGTCAATAGCATTCTCTTTGCGAATTCATAAGCGTGTCCCTCATGGCAAGGAGAGAAAAGACGTGCTGATAATCTTTGCCCCTTTTACGGCAACAGCCACCGAGTTCCATTTTTAATTAGTAAACTTCTATCACATACATGCCTGAGCACGTTCCAAGCATGTTTGGAAATCAACATCACCTTACGATTTGAAAGTATCCTTATCATCTGTTACCCTGATCAGACGCTTTGGTGCAGCATCGCCAACTGTAAGTCTCTTATTTTGTAAAAGAGTTTAATCATTGCAATAATTTCATGTTTATAATCTGAGCAAGTACAACAGTCACGATGGTAATCTCTTCATATGTTTACCTTCATTTTTATGATCGCATAATAGAATCATCAAATGTCGTATCCTGCTAGTTTATTAACCAACTGATGTTCTGTACA